AGTAGTTATTTGGGTGACAATCTTGGTGTGTCCGTTTGTTACATATGAACATATTCGCCTGGTGTGTCCGGTGGTATGTAATGGTCTTATCTTGGTGTGTCCGTTAGTCACATATGTAGAAAGTACTAGCCTGGTGTGTCCGGTAGTAGTAAGATGACAATCTTGGTGTCGGATTGTGTTGACAGTATAAAATATATAAAAAGAAAAACATAAAAGCATCCAATGTGCATGTCAATATGAGCATAATATGTGTACAGCCATTACGAGGGCGTAATCTAAATATCAAGACGGCCGACTGGTTTAATCATAAGTGTTAACACTATTAATTTTATTTTCTATTATTGCTCCTGTGTTTAGCCGACAATAAATAATAATAATAATAATAATAATTGTTAAAAATAGGAATGAAAAAAAAAAACAATTAAGTAAAATATTTTCTATCATTGCTACTGTGTTTAGCCGAAAATAGATTATAATAATAATTGTTAAAATAGGAATGAAAAAAAAACCAATTAAGTAAAATATACTTGTGCTTTAATTTTTCCGTATGTTGTAAAATTACGAGGTCGTAATCTGTAAATCAGGAAAGGCCGAGTGTTAGTTATAGTTGCTCAATTGACTATTATTGTTTATTATTTAAGGATCATATTGATTCTTCATAATTTGTTAGTTATAATTTTATATTTTATTATATTAATTTGATATTGATTATTTATAATGTATTATTTACAATTTTATAATATTAATAATGATATCGTTTAGTTGTATTTGTAATATTAATGTTTTAAGAGTATTGTCATCCACCGTTGGGAAATGTTATACGTAGAAGACAGATGCCGCCACCTTACACCCAACGGTGGGGAAATGATGTATAAATAGTTGTAATTGCCATTTTGTAAGGATTCCTGTTAAGTGATCGAAGTAAAGAGGAATTGCTGAATCTCTGTAGTCTTATTTAAAATTCATTACTAACACTATCAATACATATAATAAAATTGTAATGGAGTCGAATCTGTACATTAAATATTTTTGGAAAATATTATTGAAATAGTCATTATTATTTATCGTTACAGAGGACGTTACCTCTTTATAATATTAGCATAGATTCTAACTGAATTGAATCTGTACATTAAATATGTTTTAGAAAATCTTATTATAATAGTATTATCGATACAGAGGCCGAATCTACAGTTTTTCGAATTTTTGTCCGTCTGTCTTAGAACTCATCATAAGAAAACCATTGGACAGATTTTGATAAAATTTGGTATTATGATAGCTGGTTATCCGGGTCAACATATAGGATATTTTTTATTGCGGGAAAATATCTCATCTCTGAGAAATCTATACTGACCGTTCAAACGTACTTAAGAGCTAAAACCCGAGCAGAGCGAGGGTGAGTCGCTAGTATATAATAAAATCGATATACGTATACTTTGTAATTATTAATAAAAATTTATTTTATACAGTTATATAATTAAATTACAATAACACAACAGAGTATTCTTTTTCGGAAACAACAGCCATTTAAATTTTGGACAAGCGAGAATTTAAATAAGTTAAGGTTGAAGCGTTTACATTTTCGGATTTCATATGAAATGTTTATAACGTAACGAGGTTCTGAAACTTCGTTATCTCCGTGCTCTGATTTTAACAAAGACGGTTTTAATTCAATTTACATACATTTATAGTGACCACATCGTATACAGGACACCGAGCCTACTCGCTCATAATTGGACCCAGTTATGCAAAAAACAGCCATGTGCGTAAAAGTACTAACAGAGTGGAGTGGAGACTCGGTGGTGTAGTGGCTAGTATGTACGGCTGCACACCCGGAGGTTCTGGGTTCGAGTCCCGGGTCGGGCCAAGTTTAGTTATTGAGTCTTTCTGTATAGTAAGTCTCAGTAACAGCCCGGAGTTGGGAAGTTGGCGGTGTTTCACCCCCGTGCCTCGGAGAGCACGTAAAGCCGTCGGTCCTGCGCCTTAACTCTCACCGGCCGTGTCGAGTGGTCGTCCCACCGGAATATGAGAGTGATATAGGAATAGAGAGTGCACTTGTGTCTGCGCGTACACTTGAGCACTATAATATCTCCTGCGCAGTTGGCTAATCTCAATGAGATTGGCCGCCGTAGCCGGATTCGGCTAGGAGAACATCATTAATGTGAAATTTTGTATGTGTTTGTTACTCCTTCATTTTGAAATGGCTGAACGGATTTGGATGAAATTTTGCGCACATATAAACTTTGACCAGTAGTATCAGATAGGCTACTGTTAGGCACTTAGGGCACACGTGCATACTCTATGTATGTATTCAGCCCTTTTTAACGTCCCACTACTGAGCACGGGCCGGGTCTCCCATCAGTACGAGGCGGATCAGGCCACAGTCCACCACGCTGGCCAAATGCGGGTTGGCGGACTTCACGTCTTTTGAAAACTTGCTAGGTTATATCAGTAGTATCTTGGAGGTTTTCTAACGATGTTTTAATTCACCGCAAGACAAGTTGGTAATTATGTTGGAACTTGGAAATGATTCACACATGAACATATCAGAGGTGCGAGACCCGGGATTCGAACCCACTTCACTAGGTTCAAGCGAGCGTGTTACCACTAGGCTACCACTGAATCACAATAAACGTGAATACCTTAGAGACCAATAATAATGTTTACTTTAGAATTAGATTAAAGTTAAGATTCAATCAAATATCTATTAATTATTTGAGATAGATGATGCAAGTATGACGGATGTTTGTGAGTCAACTTACAACGAAGGCCACGCACCGGATACCGACATCGTCAGCTGATAAACGTATGAACCAGCGTACGTACGTGCACTGTACACGTTTAAAAACCCCTCTTTAAAGATGATAATGAAAATCATCTTAACAATATTTGATTTTAGGGGGTTTATATTCTCTTGAAACACAGAGCCTTGTTTCCCAATAGATATGATAACATATTATCTAACAAGATATTGCTATAAGTACTTTCTTAGATTTATGCAAATATTTGACATTTTAAATAAAACTATCTTTTCTTTTCGTTTCGGGAGAGACTCCCCCGACCGAGATTCTCGGCCTCGGTCAAGGGAGTCTCTCCCGTGACCATGATTGCTGAAAAACATTCGAAAGGTCGGGAACCAAAAATAAAAAATAAATCCGCGAAACAATCTCAAAAGATAGTTTTATTCCCTCCACGACCGCGGACACGCCGGCGTTTTACAGTTAACAATAGATTTAGAAATTTAATTTCATTGAAATTTACCTGGAGGTGTGTATTAAGAAAATTAAGCAGTTTAGTCGTCGAAATACTAGTTATATAGTTTTTATAACATCTCCATGATTATCAAAATTAAGTAATGCTGCATACATTACTCCATTTCCCATATCTTCATGCACAACATAGATCTTGATTAAAAAAATTTGATATACATATAATGCTATGAGTATGCATAATATGCTTATGAATAATGACTAATGAGAATAATAAATTGTTTAATATCAAATAAATATAATATTTTTTTAGAAACCATTCTTATCTATACTTATAATAAAATTCTGAGTCAAATTTGTACATTAAGTATTTTTTTGAAAATCTTATTGAAATATACATTATTATCGATACAGAGGCAGAATCCATAGTTTTTAGCATTTTTGTCTGTCTGTCTGTTACCGCATCACATAAAAACCATTTGAGGGATTTTGATGAAATTTGGTATGGTGATAGCTGGTTATCTTGGTCAACATATAGGATACTTTTTACCGCGGGAAAATATCTCATTTCTGAGAGAAAACACAAAAACTGCAATGTAAGAGTATACTAATATGTAAAACCTAAGAATTTGGTTTTTGGTCATCCGAACGCGGGCCGAGCCGCGGGCAATGCTAGTTTTGATAGCTAGAATAAAGATAAGTTAAAGATATTTGAAATAAAAGATAAACATTTTTCTGATAACAATGTTTGTAAAATAAGAAAATTTTACCTTTTGGTTGAAAACACTTTAAGTAGTCTATTGAAATTGTAAATGTATTAATGGTTAAAAGATTAATTATGTATAATGTAATTGGATAATTATAAAAAAAAATTAAAAAAAAAATAGTCTTTTTATTACAAAAACAACAGTTAAAATCTTTTATATTTAGTTTTAACATGCAAATGCTCTATTATGAATATATATAACTTTATTTTGAAACTAATTATGATGAAATAAGCATTCCAATGTTGTAATTATGGAAAATGAGTAAATACTATTTCTTTTAGAAAATAATAATAATACTTATCAAATTAAAATTTTTGTTCAAACATTATTTTTACAATTAAAGAGGCGAAGATAATATTGAATATAATTATAACTTAGATACCAAAATTAGAAAAAAAATTATTGTTTCATATAAAAAAATAAATTACATATACTATCTGCTTCAAAAGATATTGATAGATAGTGTGTTTAGTTTAGGATCCATGTCCATATTTGATGTAGTCATCCACCTACATGCCGATGACTAAGTAATTATAAAAATCTGTCTAATTATTACCTAGTTGTATAGTAAGAACTGTGATAGTGCAAATGTGTATGTTGTTATTTTCAACATTTGATGATCCATCATTGAGTATACAGAACTATGCCGACTTGACCGACATACAGTGTTAATTGCTCTAATTATTCGCGAACTCATGAGGCTTAAAGAATTCTACCTTGTTCATTAACAATAGATATGTTTCAGACAAATTTTTATACCTATACAGCAGGGCTGCAGAACGCAACAAATTGTCTCATTCCATTGACAGACCGACCACTATCATTCAACTTGGAAGTCACGGGTGGGGCGAACAGAAAATGAAATCTTATACAGCATCTTACATAAACTTTTGTGGGAAAACAGGGGTTGCAATGCTATTCCTTATGCCTTGAAAAATGCTTAGCTAGGGTTATTTCTTTCTGAATTCGAGGTCATCAAATAACCATTGGTTATAATTGGGAAATGAAGAGTAAAGGGGAGGCTTACCGCTTGTAGCGCCGCAAACCTGTCCTTCGTCATCCTTTATAGAAAATCACACACCAAATAAACGTTTTATCTCGTTACACAATCCCATTCACAGATATTTTTCTAACAAACGTCACTATACTAAAGGACACGAACACTAGTTCACTTCACTCAAAAAATCGATACAACGAACGAACGAAACTTCCATCCATCAGTCTACTAAGACAAATATTGCAAAGTTGTAGATGGCGTAACTGACTCTGAAGTATATGACGTCATTACTGCGGAAGTCGGTAAAGCAGTTATAGCAAATATCGTTAAGGAGCTTATTTATTTTTTTAAATAAAAATAAAACTTTACATAATTTATTTGATAATGTAAAATTTATATCAAATAATTTAAGAGTTATTTTATATAAGTACTTGGAAAACAAGTTTATTTACAAATTATTTATAGGTCGAAAAGAGGCTAGCTTGACTACTGCAGTCTTTGCGCCTGTCGATGTCAGACAAACCTTCCGTTTAGTTAAGTGACGCCATTGTGAGCCGTAACGACTTTTTAGAGCACGGAGTTAAATCTCTAATTTCTTGAATAATCTTGGTAAATTGTGTTTATATATATAGTGATTATATTCTAGGCGTATTATACTTCCCAATTTATATTATATTTTGAGTGTAACGTGTGTAGTTCTTGTGTATTTTTGATTCATCTTCGGTACCATCGAGCTAAATTCCTATGATGATAGTTAAGCGCCATTCGGCTAAAACTTAAAACAAATTTACCTTGTCAATGAAGGGCTTTTACTAAAGACATTTTAATTCTTTGTAAATAATAAACAAAATATTGCAAAATATTATTAAACTAGCTTACTAATAAACAAAGAGTTGTGTACTTATATGGTGAGTCATGACATATGAAAAAAAAACGTATTTTTCATTATCAACCATTGTTTTCAGGTAAAGATTTAAAAATAACAATTAAAAATGGCAGATGATATGCCCACATTCAAATGTGTGTTGGTTGGAGACGGTGGTACTGGCAAAACCACATTCGTAAAGCGGCACTTGACTGGAGAGTTCGAAAAAAGATACGTTGCTACTCTCGGTGTTGAAGTACATCCATTGGTTTTCCACACAAATAGAGGCCCTATCAGGTTTAATGTTTGGGATACGGCAGGTCAGGAAAAATTCGGAGGCCTTCGAGATGGTTACTATATTCAAGGTCAATGTGCGATCATCATGTTTGATGTAACCTCTCGCGTAACCTACAAAAATGTTCCCAACTGGCACAGAGATTTAGTTCGGGTTTGCGAAGGAATCCCAATCGTACTTTGTGGTAACAAAGTAGATATTAAGGACAGGAAAGTTAAGGCGAAAACTATTGTGTTCCACAGGAAAAAGAACCTTCAGGTAAATATATATTATTTAATTACATATATAGAAAAAAATATTTGATTCTCATTTAGCAAATAAAAATATTATATCACAAATTGATTTATTTTCTCTAACATTTCAGTACTACGACATCTCTGCTAAATCAAATTACAACTTCGAAAAACCATTCCTGTGGCTCGCAAGAAAGTTGATTGGTGATGGCAACTTAGAATTTGTTGCTATGCCTGCTCTTGTACCTCCAGAAGTTAACATGGACCCAAGATGGCAAAACCAGATCGAAAAGGAACTCAAAGAAGCCCAAGATACTGCTCTACCAGAGGAAGATGAAGACTTGTAAATATAGGAAAATACAAAAAATTCCCAGTGCCCTCTTTTAAATGTGATCAAAAAGCTCATTCAGCTTACATTGAAATGTGTTTTCAATATTTCATTCCATTAGGTTTTTCAATCGGGTCATAAATGCTCTAATATTGAGTAATTTAATAAATCTTTGCTTTAAACAGTGCATGTAAAGTTTATTTTTAGCATCAATAATATCTTACTGTAACATTTATGTCCTTAGATCAATATTGTAATAAGTCATAGTGTAATTCATCGTAAACATGATAAAATTCTTACATCATAATTATAATAAAATATCATATTTTGTGATACAAGGCTATAATTGGACTGTTAATGTTTCCCGTCTTTTGATTTATTGTATAGTATTATTTTTATAAAGAAAACTGTTAGTGAAAGTGCTAATTAATATGAGCTAAAACTTACAGAAATCTTTATGTAAGAAAATGGTTATCTTCACACATGATATGCTTTATATTTTTAAAATGTTCCAACAGTTTTGTTTATAACGTGTTGCAAGTGACATTGTCCATTATGTGTAATTTATTTATCAAAAATCTGTGTTTGATACATGTAAGGGCTGACAATATTTCACTATAAAATTGTGGTGATACTTTTTCAATAAAGATATAACATTATTTTGCTTTTTAATTCTATTTCTTAACTCGGTTTAAAGATTTTTTTTAAAAGCACTATCTGAGAATCTAAATGATTAAAATTGGTTAAAATATATTAAATTCTACAAGTCACAAGTTCTAAAATTGTTGTGTACATTTAACGAAAATAAAATAATATTCAAAATTTATTACTTGCATCTGAATATTAAGACATATTGAAATTTTTCTGAAGTTCAGTAAGTATCATTCTCCTTCCATGAACTATGAGAGCAACAAAGTTTAATTTTGCTACTAAGTAACACTTCCTTTTCAATAACCAAAGATTCTATTAGATGGAGATGATTCAAACAACTTAATAAACTAAAAAAAAATCTTATTTGCATATCATCTGATTTGATAAATAAAAATCTATTTATTTCTATTACAAAATGTATAATAATTTACATATGTATGTATAATTTTTTTTTTATTAATATATATTTTAACAATTGTTTTTTTTTTCGTGTCATGCTTTAGAACTTGGTGATGCAAGCCTCCTAATTTCTCCTCTATATTTTTATAGTATAAATTTAGATTATTTTTAGTGTATAAATGAAACATTTTTTGTTTCTAATTTTTTATTTTCATAATTTTAAATGCGTAAATATAACTACAATGCTAAAACTTAAATTACATAATAACACTTCACTTCTTGGCAATAGCCTTTTCCCTTGCTTTCTTTCCTTCAAGAAGCTTCAACCTGTCATCTTCAGAAAGGTTTTTATTGATCTTAGTTATCACACCAGTTCCCAAGGTCATATCCCCAAGTCGAAGAGTGAACCTTTGCCCAGGTTCACATACCATAGGTTTCAAAAGCCTTAATTGTAAACTGAAATAAAAATAAAACATACATAGTTAATTTAGCTGTAAATTCTATTTCTCTAAAACAACTAATTTATATATATATATATTTATTTGTTTTGGGAATAAAGTTTTTAATTAAATTACTTTGTAACAGCCTTGATATAAATATGTTGAGCACACATCAAAAAGTGTATTTTGAAGTTTGCTAAACAAATGTATGTTTGGAAAACTTTGGAAAAAATTAAAATGTCTGATATGATTTTCATAAATCGCTTAAGACAGCTTACTGCCATAAATGTGAAAAATGGAATAAACAATAGAATAATTATATACTAACGTTGCATCTTCACCGGGCATCACCATTTCCTTTTCTGGTATAGTAACTTGAGTTGCACAATCCCAAGTCATAGAGAACATTTGCAATTGAATGAAGGATGTGAATGGTTTTGAACGACCTCCCTCCTCTTTGCTCAAGATATAAACTGCTGCTTCCAAACTATCATGAGCCTTGACAGTACCAGGCTTGGCCATTACCATACCACGCCTAATCTGTTCTCTTTTAATCGCTCTGACCAAAGCCCCAAGTTGATCACCAGCTTGAGCCTCTTCTAAAGTCTTATGAAACATCTCAACTCCAGTGACTGTAGTTTTCATGATCTTACCGTGACCAACAATTTCACATTCAGTGCCCTTTTTTAAAGTACCTATAAAAAGAAAGAAATTTTTTTTCTTTATTTGTATTTACTAACTATTTACAAAAGGTTTTCGTTTATTTGAATTACATAATTAAGAAATATCTGACATAACAAAGAATACATAATTTTTTTTTACCTCTGTACAATCTTCCAGTCACAACCGTTCCACGTCCAGGAATAGAGTGGACTGATTCCACTGGCAAGAGGAATGGCTTGTCTAACTCACGAATTGGCGTAGGGATAAATGAATCAACTTCCTCGAGAAGTTTTGTAATTGCATCAGCACCAATTTCAGGGTTCTTTCCCTCCAATGCACTTAAGGCTGAGCCTGTAATTTGAATGAATATTTATTAATTATATAATATATAAGACCGGGATGGTTGGCGCTCTTTGGGGGAGGCCTTTGTTCAGCAGTGGACGGCGATAGGCTGATTGATTGATTATTAATATAAAAACATTTATTTTTATCACCTGGCTACTGAAATACCTTTATGTAATAATATAAAACTTTACCTTTAATAACAGGTATTTTGTCTCCATCATAGCCCATTTCAGTCATGAGCTCACGGATTTCCATCTCCACAAGCTCTACCATTTCTTCATCAGCAGCATCAACTTTATTAATAAACACTACAACATGCTGTATGCCAATTTGCTTAGCAAGAATTAAATGCTCCCTAGTTTGAGGCATAACTCCATCTGTTGCTGCAACTACTAAGATTGCACCATCCATTTGTGCAGTTCCAGTAATCATATTCTAAAAATTAAAAACACTCATAGAATAGAATTTTTCATAATATAAGCAGTTTACAGCAAATACTTATCTGTGGAAACTGGGTTGTTTTTAGGACTACTTTTATATGTATGTATATTTGTTTTCCTTGAAAAGCTAATAAATAAAAAAATAATACTTATATACTACCTTAATATAATCTGCATGTCCAGGGCAGTCCGTGTGACCATAATGTCTCTTTTCAGTTTGATATTCAACATGAGCCACATTAATTGTAATACCTCTTGCTTTCTCTTCAGGTGCATTGTCAATATCAGAGTAACCTTTCTTTTGTGCCAAATTAAGATCAGACAATACTGAAAAATTTAACCATTTTAATAATTACATGTTTTTGTGTATTTGCTAAATGATTATAATTTACCTTGTTCTTACCTTTCGTAATAGCAGCAGTCAAAGTAGTTTTTCCATGATCAACATGACCAATAGTTCCAACATTACAATGTGGCTTAGTTCGTTCAAACACCTGCTTCTCAGCATAATGTCTTCTAAGTATAATACTTAGTGGAGTCAAAGAGGGTAAACTTCTTAGATGTGCATTATGACTTTGTTGTAAGACCAATTTCAAAGCTGATAAATAAAAAGTGCATTTCTAAATATATTTATAAAATAATATACTTTAGGATACCTTTCAACAAGGATATTATTAAAAATAAAAATCTTTTACATAATATAAAAGAGGTTATAATATAAATTCACTCTTGTATAAATGACTAGTTAAATTAGTTATAATGCAAGAACATTCCTAAATTATTATATTAATAAATATATTACACATTAATATAGTGTGTAATTAATTTATAAGAAAATTATGTGAGTAAGTTGTGTAGGTACCTGGATTAACCAAATTTTTTGCAAATGATATAGTCGCCATTGCAACAGGCAAACCACACCAACTGCTTTAGTTTAGATTTACTTTGGAACTGACGCTATCTTTTGCCTTTACTGCGTTTTAGTGCAGTTTTTAATATTATTTAATACTAAAAAAACCACACCGAAAAATTTATTGGATTTGATTATCTTTTGTCATAGACAACTTTTTATTTTTACTTCTGAGAAAGATAAAAGATAGTTATTTGCACGACTATCATAAAATTTTGAGCCTCATTTTTTAATATTTTCATAAAAAGTATAAAATAATAAAGTAAGTACTTAAATAAGTATAAAGTAAAGTAAAAAATATATATTTTCCTAAAATTGTTTTTTTTTTGTTTATGACTCACAGAGATAACACGGAAGAGAAAAAACAATTTTATTTTCCGTGGGCAGGCAAAAGTTCTAAGCTATGCAGCCGAAATATAAGAAGTAAGAACTTTTATTTGTTATCCATGGTAAGAACTGCTATTCATACAAGGATAATTTGTTACATCCAATAAAGGTGGAAAGCTGTTGTTTGAGATTGGCTATCTATAGAATTCCACTATTTTTTACTATTTATTTGCAAGTATTTCGCAAAAGTTCGCGATAATATGATATCTTCGTGTCATCGATATCCTTGAAAAATCTGATGCGATTTTTCTAGAACGGATGAACTTTGACATTGTGTACACATGAGAACATTTTACCGCTTGCTGACAAAATTCGATGGATGGGGAAATTTGTTAGGTCGGCGGTTATAGACCTAAAGGAATGGAATGAATATTTGCCAAATCCGAATCAAATCAATACTTTATGTACATATACACTAATAATAAATATAATAAATTATTATAAAAATAAGTCCCCCGGCCGCGTCTTTCTGTCCTCCTGTCTGTCCTCCTGTCTGTCTGTACGCGATAAACTCGAAAACTACTGAACGGATTTTTATACGGTTTTCAACAATAGAAAGAGTAATTCTTGAGGAAGGTTTAGGTATATAATTTATTATGCTTTTATGTAAATTAGCTGAAATACGGCGACAAATGTTGAAGAGGTCGCAAAAAATCTCGCCAAATGGGAACTTTCCACGCGAACGCCGCGTAAACTAGCAAAGATACAGTTAAGTAATGTACTAGAGAATTCAAAATCTATAAAAATGCTACAAAAAAGTCCGCGATAGCATATCTCTATCTCTTACGGTTGACTTACAATAACCACTTTTATGTTAACATTTTTAATTAAAAACATTACGTTATTTTCAAAGTTATTTTCTTTAGTTCGGTATTAATCCTTATCCAAATGAATATTTTAGTTAGCTTAGTCATTTAATGCAGATTAAAATTGCTCTTTACACTAAATCAATCAGATGAATAGTTTTTGAGATATCGTTGTTAGAAGTAATTAGTAGCGAAACATTTTTAATGCTTGGCGAGCATTGAGATGCCTACGGCGAGTCCATCCCCTCTGCCCCGCATCGCTCGACCGCCTGCTCAAGCTATATAAACCGGGCGATGTAGCGCGCGATCCTAGGATACTTTTTACCGCGGGAAAATATCTTATTTCTGAGGAAAAATACAAAAACTGCAATGTAAGAGTATACTAATATGTAACACCTAAGAATTTAGTTTTTGGTCATCTGAACGCGGGCGGAGCCGCGGGCAATGCTAGTAATAAATAATAATAGTACAAACATACTGCTACCTACTTTTGAGGACCCAACAACTCAAGAACTGTAAGGAGTATGGTGAAATGGTCCGTATCGCGCTAGGTCCGGGTTGGTGCATTGAATTTGGCACTTAATTATTCATTACTTAAGGCATAACCAAAAAAAGATTTACGTATTAGATATAAAAAGAACACACCTCCCCATATATTTGACTACAAGTTAGGCTCAGTTTATAATGACCCTACATGCTGTGCCAGCGGTCGCGGGTTCGAGTCCCGCAGAGGGCATTCATTTGTGTGATCACAAATCTTTGTACTCCAGTCATGGGTGTTTATATTTATAAAATGTATGTATTTAAAGTTTATATATGCGTAGTGTATCAACTATCTGGTAACCATAACACAGACCTCGTAGCTTACCATGGAACTAGATGGTGTTGTGTGTTAATTTCCCAACATATTTATTTATTTATTTGCTTGGTGTTGGCCATGAACAGATTTCCATAGCTGTTTTCTGAATATTGCTAATAGTAACTAGCTCCAATACCTAAATCCTCTATGGAGACTTTATTTTGTACTCTTATCAAGACACGCGGCAGCGTGTCCAGCCAAGTTCAAGCCAGAGGAACTGGCGAGTGGCGACGCAGCACTGTGTGTATATTTACAAGAACCATTTGGAGCCACCTTTCACCTCGTAATAAAACAAAATCTATTTAATATAAACTAATGAAATTTGGTTCATTTATTAAATCCCCATATATTAACAGGAATCCCCAATTTCATAAATACAGCACAAACGGTTAGTGTCTAAAAATCGGCATTTTTATCACTGGCTAACTGACATAATATAGTATTAAAACCTAACCTACTTCTAGATGATCTAGAAAGTTGAAATTTGGTGTCCAGATGGGTAATCGTGTGCATATAAATGAAAAAATCCGGAAACAGTAATTTTTTAAAATTTGAAAAAAAAATTTTTTTATTAACACCTTCCAAAATATAATAGCAATAGCTTAAAACCTAGTGCCTTTTGCAATATAATAGCAATAGCAATTATAGTAATAGCAAACACTTTTTCTTTCTCAGGAGAAAAAGTTCCATGATCCACTAACGAATAGTGGCATTTTATTTTAAAAACAACATTGAATATACAGTTCACTTTGGAATTATAAATAATAATAGTTTCTTTGCAAAAGTTATGATATCCTATTAAAAACACAAATGTGAAAATGGGAGCCAAGTTCAATGTTAAGAATAAGCGTGGTTGTCAACTTCAACGACAAAAGAATCTAGAGATCTAAATAGGTTCCAAGTTCTGTGGATAATCCTGATTTTTCATAAGAGCATACAACATTCTAAAATAAATTTAAAATACAATTTCTTTTTTTATTTAAAAATAGAACTTCTTAAATTTAAAAAGTCTAATTATTTACACAGAGTAAGTAGATAACTTAGGATAAATTGAAGTTTCGAGATTTGTCTTGGCTAGTTTTTACATACAAGTTCTTATATTCGACTAATCACTAATATCTTGTTTATGCTATACGCAAGTTACCGTTTTTATATTGAAAGGTCAACATGTCTCACTCTTCTAAAAACTTACTTTACTGTAAAAACTAGCCAAGTCAAATCTTGAACTTCAATTTATCCTAATACATCATCGAACGTTTAATATAAGTAAAAAACTTATACATGATACAAATTATACACTAAAAGTATTTAAAAATATTTATTACTAGCAGAACCCACGGCTTCGCTCGCGCCAAAACTATAAAAATATCTCTAAAAAGGTAGGTTTCATACAAATTTATGCTCTATTTTAACCCCTTCCTTATATGATGAATTTCGAAAAATGCTAAAACACGTATTTATTAATTTGTACTGAAGAGTATTAATACCAAGTTTCAATTAATTTTGATCACAAATATTTTTTTGGTTTGTATTATAACGTGTGTTACCGTGGAAATAAAATAATCTCCCGCGGTAAAAAGTAGCCTATGTCACGTTCCAGCCCTCCAACTATCTTCACACATAAAATCACGGTAATTCGTCACTCGGTTTCGCCGTGAACGAAGAACAAATTAACAAACAAACACACTTTCACATTTATAATATTAGTATGGATTTTCGATGTTTCAAATGGTGATATGTGTTTCTTAGGAAAAAAATATGTAGGAACAAAATTTGAAGATAACTGCATGATGTACAATTTTGTCACAGTTTATTTTTATAATAACACTTACCGTTTACCAGAAAAATGCAAAAGGCCGATATTTTTGATCCTTGCCCTTGAATTTTTTTTTTAGTAGAATCGGTGGGGATGTTTGATATTTTACTTTTCTACATAAAACCTGCACCAGTTTTCAACTCCATCTTGAATGGGCTATTTATTGTCTTCTGTAGTTTATATTATACTTAATGAAATTATTTCTATTTTTCGATACGATTTCGTTGAATTTTGGAAAAATATTTATTAGTAAAATATTATTATTAGTAATTTATTTGAGTAATATATATAAAAACACAGTATTTTTCTTTTATTTTTTTTAATTATAATATTGAATAACGAAAACAAGTAACAAACTATAAGATAAAATTTATAATATGCAAATAAAGTAAATCTTTAGAAAATTAAGTCTACTATAAGCTGTGGAAAATTGCATGACAAAGCTTCTTAGAATCTGGGTGATCTTGTCACTGTGACTTTAAGAAATACCTGCAAAATGATTTGGATTAGTTTTAATTACCAAAAAATATTATCTACTAGCGGCTCAAAAACAAAAACAAATTATCTCACGGGAGTTCCGTAATTTTTTCTGGATAAAAAGTAGCCTATGTGCTGTTCCAGACTATAAGTATATAATTTAAAATATAATTTATCTCTGTGCCAAATTTTATCCAGATCCGTTCAGCCATTCTGGCGTAATTGAGTAACAAACATCCATCCACCTAAACATTTAAACTTTCACATTAATTATTATAATATAAGTATAGATACCTCCCATCAATCATGTGTTTTAATTTTAAAATAAACTAAAATGCAATTTAAAAAAAAATAACAATTTGTATTTGCTTTGTGATCATTATCTCGTAACTAATTTTTTTACATGATTTAATATTTAATACGCGACGTCAAATAGTCATCTAATAATATATCTTTATATATATAATTCTTCTGTGAGTGTGTATGTCACTGAACTTCTCTCAAACGACTGGACCGATTTTGATGAAATTTTTTGTGTGTGTTCAAGGGGATCTGGGAATGGTTTAGATTCATAATTTGAATAATAATTTTCATCAAAAAATTATTAAAAAAAGTTTGAAATTTTCAAATTAAAGACATGTAGACAGGACAACGTCTGTCGGGTCCGCTAGTATACTAATAAAATTCTGAGTCGAGTCTGTATTTTAAATAAGTATTTTTTATATACACGTATACTTACAAAATCTATGCTAGTATAAGTCGACTCTAGGTTATGTACATAAATAATCTATTCGAGTGACGCCATAGACAAACGCTAGTAGATAAATGTTGGGACATTAATACTGCACCATGGTAAGCTACGAGGCTTGTGTTATGGATACTAGTTTAATTTTAAATACATACATATAATAAATACATGACTGGAGTACAAACATTTGTGCTCATCATACAAATTAATGCCTCCTGCGGGACTCGAACCCGCGAACGCTGGCAAGCGGCTCGCGAAAGTTGGCGAGCAAATAGGGTCACTACAAAATGCCAATGAGCGAAACGGGTCGTCAAAGTAATACCACGGTAATATATATGTAACATTACCGTGGTAATACATTAGTAATACAATATTAAGGATCAGAAAGTAAATAGCTAGGTCATGTTTATTAAAACAAAAGAACCTATTTCTTTGAAACATACTACCTTATTGAGTTTTAGAATTTCCTCCATTTTTCTTCTTCTTATTTCCTAATACAATCATATTTTTATGCTTCTGTGTTGGACTCATTTCACTGTCGGAATCTGAAAATTCCTCAGGTAAGTCAATATTGAACTTTCTTTTGAATTGGTTTTGGAACTTTTTTAAAAGCTTTACATTTATTTTCTTCGGACTGGCAATGATTCCTTTGTATCTTGTAATAAAGCTGTATTTTTTTAAACGAGCTTCCAAAGAAAGATTTTCAGCGTCGTTAGCCTGTGATATGGCAACTTCTAGACGCTTCCTATAGCTTTTTGTTTTTAATGCAGATTTTATTAAGTCCTTAGTTTGAGAATACGGTTTGAGTTGAGAAGGAGGCAACCATGCTCTTGTAACTTCAGATGAGTCGAAAAAAACTACGTTGTAGTGAGTCTGCAATATATTAAATCATAGTGTAAAAAAAAATTTTTTTTACTATAAATAATAAAAAAAATACATTGACAAATCATTTACTTATAATTTATAAAACTTTTATTATAATAATACTTCATTTTATAGGTACCTAGATTTTGAATTAGTATTTCCTGAGATTACTGCGTTCGTAACAAAAAAACAAACTGCCTTTTTGTAATATTAGTATAGATAGTAGAACTACCTTCCGAGTCGCTTCATGAACCAAATCTACTGTCTATCTTTAAAAATTAAATTGACGATTCAAAAGTCTTTGTGTAGGTACACTCATTTTTGCTTTGCTCGGGTTCGTCCCTAGCTTGCTTTACATATAAATTTTCATCTCCATTTCTTGATTGATTTATGATGAAAAAGTATCCTTTGTCCTTCTCAGGGCCTAAGACTATCTTCTTACCAAATTTCATCTAAATCGGTTCAGTGGATCCAGAGATTACCCTCTACAACTTTACAAACTCAAAAACTTTACCTCTTGACAATATAGATGTCAAATATTCGCGTGAATCTAAGAAAGTATTATCTAATTGAATAAAGTTAATTATCATTTGAATATACATGTAAATGAGTAATATAACACACGGGTATGTCAGAGAAGCCGTCGAGCCAGTAGTACTGCTCGGTGTCGGGGCAGTCGTCCACCATGGCGGGCCACCACGGCCAGCCGCGCGCGCGCGCCGCCACCAGCGAGCCCGCCGCGTACGCGCTGTGTATGAGGTCCTCCGCCGAGCGCAACTCTATGGGGCTCTCCGGTGCAGAGCATCGGTTTACGCTTGTGTCTGTTTGTGTTATTGATTGTGGCAAACATCACTACATATGTAAATTATATAATAAAAAACATATTAATGTTTTTTTTATTCATTTAGATAACAATAGCAACGCCAATAACAGTTTATACTTTTACTAGCGACTCACCCTCGCTTCGCTCGGGTTCGTCCCTAACTTGATTTCTCATACAAACTTTCATCCCCATTTTCACTCCCTTAAGAGATGATTTCCGAGATAAAAACTATCCTATGTTTTTCCTAGGGTCTCAAACTATCTTCTTACCAAATTTCATATAAATCGGTTCAATAGATCCGAACATCACCCCCTACAACGTCACAAACTTAACGTCTTTATAATATTAATATAGATTATAGACTAGCGACTCACCCTCGCTCCGCTCGGGTTCGTCCCTAATTACGTTTTAACGTTTAGTATAAACTTCTCAGACGTGAGATATTTTCACACATGAAAACTTTTATTTCCACACTAAAAAGTATCCTATATGTTGACCCGGATAACCAGCTAACACCCATGAACGAATTCTCTAATTCGTTCATGCTAACACCATACGAAGTTTCATCAAAATCCCTCCAGTGGTTTTTCTGTGATGCGGTAACAGACAGACAAAAATTAAAAAACTATAGATTCGGCGTCTGTATCGATAATAAATAATAATGACCATTTCAATAAGATTTTCCAAAAAATATTTAATTTTTAAAACACAAAAAAATAGTCAATTTTTGCTAGGGTGCAATTAAATGTTAAAGTTGATTTGTGCTCGCTAAACTTAGAAATTTTTCACCCATACAAAAAGATAAGTTAGAACTTAAATAGAAGAAGAAGTAATTTAAAAATGGATGTGTTTGTTGGTAAAGAAAGGCTGGATTGAACGAACTTAAACATTGTATTTGTATTGGAAGTTAAATAAACGAAAAGTAATATAGTTAAGACATACATTGTTTTATATAATCTGTGGCTATACTTCTTTTTCAGGAATTATTTACCTAGTTTTGCCAGAAATAGTAGCCCAAATTCAAACCAAGAGTGTGTAACTACTTTACTAATTGTTAGTATAATTGAGGAGCGTCGGAACAAAAACCGATAAATCACATTAATTGTGTCTTTTGTGGAAAAATGTAAAAAATAAAAATATAGCCAAGTTAACGGTTTTCAACCAATTGGCATCGTAAAAAAAATATGTGAAAATGTGATTTATCAGGTTTTGTTCCGACACTCCTCAATTTAATTCTACTTACCAGGATTCATGCTACAGTACCACTTATTAGGCAGTTCATGGCTATCCAGCACGTCAGGCAGATATCGCCAGCGATCACAATCATCGCACTGGACCCATAACCCTACAGTACGCTTCTTTTGAAGCCATTGAAGCCGTTCACGTTGAGATAAGCCTGGTGGAAGCTGACTTAGAATACCGTTAATACTGTAAAAAGTATATAAAGATTCAAAATAAATTATCATCATCCTATTAAACTACCTTATTAGAGGTTATTTATTACCTGCTGCTTTGAAATTCAGATTTTTCACTATCATTGATATCACTTCGTTCTTCTTCATTTATTTGTACGGGAGGCATAATTTTTGACTAAAATTACGATATGAAATTCGTGATAACATTCTTATTATGTCATTTATATGCATTTTATTTTGTTTTTGTATTACCCACATTTTATTATTATAATATTATAATCAGTGTTGCTGTTAAGAAAGCTTAAGACATTAAAATCGAAATACGTTAGGCAACCAGGCATGCTCGCAAAGATATTACGATAAATAGCTAATATGAATATAAAATAATGAATAAAAAAATCCACGCAGAAATTTTTAGATAAAGATGTTGTATTGTTGTAGGTATACGTTTATTTTGTTTCGAAAGATCTAACCCAGACTAAACGCTTAGGAGCCAATTTTTCAGTTTAACAGTTTCAAAGATATACATACATACTGCAAAATTTGAAATTTCTTATAAATTTTCAAAAGAGAATTGATAATATCAAAGATTAGCGTGTTCAAACAAACTCCTCAACTTTACATGTTAGCACAGCTGCACAGAGAGTATTATTATCTAGTATCTACGTAATTAATAACCCTCTATAATTTGTATATTTTGATAAAATTTTGTAGTTCAAGAAACTAATGAAAATTGTAAAAAATAAATAATCACCGATGGTTGATGCGCTTCTTCTTCAGGTTCATGAGCCGTTTCAATGGGTAAATTAGCTTTCTTCATTTTTTAGTACGTAAAGTGAAAACTAATAAAAAATCAAATTAATACGAAATTTAATTGCTAAACAGTTTACTATTTATAAAAAGTAAATGATTCATGGGAAATGAAAACTACTTTTAAGGTGGCCAAGCTGCTCATGAAAGCGCGAAAATTAAATATTCCCGCTAAAATTGTAAAAAGACATAGATTAAAAATTATACTACCTACAATGTTAAAAAAATCTTATGTTTTAAATAAACTAATATTGGTAATTTAAATATAGATTTTTCAATACCACCAAATGTATTAATATTTTAATTGATTTATTTTATTTATCAAAATTTATGTAAACTTGCGTAAAAATCACGGAGAAAACATTCAACATTGATATAAAAATTTAAAAAGTATATGGAAATTGTCGAAGTCATGATTATTACTTAAATTAAGTAAAGCAAAATATTGTCACTAAAATTATCCAATTAATTATTAAAATAATATAAAATGCCTATATTATTACCTTTTAAATATTTTTAAATTGTTTGTAAATTATGAAAGGAAGTACGTATCTTATTTGCCAAGCTGACTACCGGCTAGGGGGCTGGTCGCCATATTAGTGGCGGATTGGTACAATAAGTTTTCTATTGTAATTTTCGTCGTTATCGGCGAAAGGGAGTATATTATACTCCCTTATTGTGTTTAAAGTTATATTCAGTGATTTACATATTACCTAACTATAATATATCAGAGGAATATATTTTTTTCTTTATTTTGTATTATAAACATGGCTTTTTAAAATGTCGGCCCTGAACGTAGAATATTTGTCTCCTTGCGGAGTATCCCGCTCGATTGTTTTTGTGGATGTTGGAAGAATCCAGAATGGACAAAAAGTCTATAAATCGTTCTACTATACAACAGTCGAGGGCTGTAGCCATCGACTGTAAGAAAAGTACGGGTGAGTCTACACCTCAAAGGTCATTAGTCACTTCTACGTAATTAAAAAGCACCTTATTTTTATTATTAAATTGTACTCGTGCTGCTTTAGCTGGAAGCATTACAGTAAGGCTTTTTTATTACTTATTTCACTCATTATGCTGATTTGTTTTTTTATTCATATAGCGATTGTAAATATTTACTTAATCTACTATTGATGAAACGCGTGGCCCGTGAATGAAAATAAAAATATTTACGATTATTGTTTTTTTAGAATTGACTCATAAACCTTGGCCGCGAAATAACAAGAAACGTGAAGGATCTGGCAGTGTACCCAAAAACGAACCTTATCGCAAAAATGTACCATCACAAAGGGGTAGAGGTCAAATGGATAAGCGCCCGCGCGCCCGTGGTACCACCAATTTCGCTTTGGGTGGAACGCAGAACACCGGGTAAATCTTCTAAAAATGCATATTTTAAGTCTATAATTATAAATTATTTTTTGCCTATTTGTGTCTATATCTAATTCGAACAGACACAGATTTCAAGTCATCGGTATGGAATTAATATAAGAATTCCTACAATTAATCCATTATCCAATAAAGAGTATAGAAGACTTCAAGATGACTATCAAATTTATTTATATATAACCTGTTTTATTTTTTACTTTTTTTGATAATGATATCATCTATACATATAATAAAATTCTAACTGAGCCAAATCTGTACATGAAATTTTTTTTGGAAAATCTTATTGAAATAGACATTATTATTGATACAGGGGCTGAATCTATTGTTTTTAAAATTTTTGTCTGTCTGTTACCGCATCACAGTTTAACTGTTTAATGTTGCTGTCAACTCGCTTTGCTTTTTCTTCATTTTTGATACTCTGTGACTTCTTCAAATTATGAGATTTCTTCTCGTCTTTGACGGATTTTGGCATTTTCTTCCAATTTGTTATATTACCAGCACATAACAAATTATTGTACAATTTAATCACGAATTTACACACAGCAAGTATGCTCTACCGCATCACAGAAAAACCACTGGAGGGATTTTGATGAAATTTGGTATGGCAATAGCTGGTTAGCCTGGTCAACATATAGGATACTTTTCACCGCAGGAAAATGTCTCATTTCTGAGAAAAAAATACAAAAACTCCAATATAAGAGTTTTTACTTATATGTAAAAACTGAAGAATTTGGTTTTTTGTTATCTGAATATGGGCGGAGCCACAGCCAATGCTAGTAATACATAAGTTTATTTAAAATTTATTATGTATTTAAAGGCTAGAAGAAGAAGAAGAGCCTGAAATAGGCTCAGTGTTTACTCCTGGAAGCAAAAAGCAAAACTTGAATCACTTGCTGAATTTTATGTACCCCTCCCGAAGTAATCCAGAGAGGAGAGGACAAGCTCCAAGGCGTCAAGTCCAACAATGGGTCTCCTATAAAAATCAACATGATCTCTACCTTCGAGCCTAGTAAGTTAATTATATTAATAATCTTGTTTTTATAGACCTCTTCAAGGATTAGTGCATGTAATCTTAATATATATATTTCTTGTGTGCGTGTGTATGTGACTGAACTCCTCCTAAACGACTGGACCGATTTTGATGAAATTTTTTGTGTGTGTTCAAGGGGATCTGGGAATGGTTTAGATTCACAATTTGAATAATAATTTTCATCAAAAAAAATATTAAAAAAAGTTTGAAATTTTCAAATTAAAGACGTGTAGACAGGACAACGTCTGTCGGGTCCGCTAGTATATTTATAAGTGCAATGTTATTAATGTAAATTGTTAATTTTATCCGTTTCTTTTTTTAATCATAATTGACTTGCATAATATTACACAATATATTTTCTTAGCTGCCAGTTCATAGTCAAAGAAGATGGAGATTATAAAGTGAATTTATTGGATCCTGACTTGCCACTTAAGTGGGAGCAGATTGAAGAAATTGTAAGTATAGATAACCTATCATTGTGCAACTATTATGATTGGGTAGGGTAATATCTATTATCTTTCTTAGATATCAGACTTAAATATAGACAATCATTGCGCATGTACTAAAGATTTTTTCTTTTTTTTCTTTAGTTTTTTATAAATTAAAAGGTTAGTTGTGTTGTATAATATGGTTATGAAATGTATATGATATATATATTTTTAAATATTAGTTATAAAGTATGTACACAGATATAATATTAGATTATCTTTAAATTTGGAGTAGCTAAAATTATGCATATGTGTTGTAAACTATTATCTAATATAAATTTTTCATTAATAATATTCCAGGTGGTGAGAAGTACCGGCAGATCAGAATGCCCCATATGCCTTGGGGCTCCTGTTGCAGGGCGAGTTGGTCACTGTGGTCATGTCTATTGTTGGGCATGCATTCTGCATTACTCTGCAACACATGAAAAGCAACCACCACCATGTCCTGTTTGTTCTATGTCATTGCAAGTTTCCGATATGAAGCCAACTCGCATGGTGCAGTGGGAGTCCCCTGCAGATGAGGTAATATTGAATTGAATGCTTAAATAATTTTAAGAAGAAAATATATCACATAAATATTATGATATATTATACTACATAGATTAGACATTAGAATAAAATTTGGGTGGAAATTTGCTACTTAATTTAATTTGTATATCTAGTTTTATATATTTATTTACACACGTTTTTTTTCCAGAAAAGACACCTATGTGTTAGTTTATCTAAAACTTTAAATACAAGATTTGATCTAAATCAGTTGAGTCATTTCTGAGATAGACAAAATAAACATCTATATATATATATATATACAGTAGCATTGCCCGTGGCTCTGCCAGAGTTCAGATGACCAAAAACCAATTTCTTAGGTTTTACATATTAGTATACTATTACATTGCAGTTTTTGTATGAAATGTTTTTCCGCAATTAAAAGTATCCTATATGTTGACCCGGATAACCAGCTATCACCATACCAAATGTCATCAAAATCCCTCCAGTGGTTTAACTGTGATGCGGTAACAGATCGTATCGATAATAATGTTTATTTCAATAAGATTTTCCAAAAAATATTTCATGTATAGATTCAGCTTAGTTACAATTTTATTATATATATATATATATATATATATATATATATATATATATATATACCAGAATTGCTCATTTAATGTTATAAGTGTAAGATGGTAGTTACATACTTATTACTGTCTATATTCTAAACTCTAAATCATAGTTTATTTTTACTTAAAGGTTTCTATGCGCCTTGTTCGACGTCTCCGTGGCTCTACTGTTGTGGAAGTGGCGCCACCCCGCGGTCAGTTGAAGGATGTCGAGACATCTATTTTGCCCTTGGAAGCCCTTAATGTGTCTCCATATGCTAAATTGTTCTCAGCAACAAAACAACAGGTACATTTCTTACTAACTCTTAATTCTAAAAATTAATAAAATTCAGCTAGTTCTCTTAAACCAAAATTTGTAACTTGAAGTTAAAAATGTGTATGTATGTGTCCACTAAGACAAGTTCAGTTTAGCAATTATTTTATAATTGTTTATGAAATAAAATAATTATTCTTTATACATAATTGACAACAATGATGTTATGTAATAAATTATAAGAACTTCAATTAAAAATATTATTATTTTTTTATTTGCATGCATGATTTCTAGGTGATGGACATTTTGGACAGAGATAGAAAGCAAATTGAAACACAAATTTTGGCTGAATTTGACACTTCTGAAATCGTTTATTTAGAACAGGCATTGGAACTGCTTAAGTTGAAGGAGGACAAAATCAAAATACAATATGAAAAACCCAAAATTGATTGTGAAAGTACAGAGCAGGTTGTGCCAACTGTTTTCGAAAAAAAAGAAATGAACAAGATCAAACTTGATTGGTTTGATGTAACCGACGAAGGAGCGGCATGTTTGGAGTCGATTGACAGTAAAATGGAATCTTTAAATATAAACGTGCAATCTAATTTAAATCCAGAAGCCAAAGCTTTTGAATGTGAACTTGATGATAACATAGTGGAAGAATTTCCACTTATTGAAAGTCCCACAGAGGAAAATATTCTATCTGACGAGTCAATTTTTGCAGATATTGACAAACAAAATCAAACTAAATATTTTTATTTCTATCAAGGTTAGTAATTTATTTTTTTTTCTAAACCATATCTTTGTAAGAAATGAAAAGGCTTTTCTTTTTTTGAAATATTAATAATGTTTTAATAAATTTTAGCTGAAGACGGTCAACAAGTATTTCTAAATAGCTTAAATGTGCGTATATTGAATGCGTCGTGGGGAGCCCTCGCCGCCGCGCCGAGTGTCATTCGTGGTCGAGTGTTACATCGCGACACCTATTCCCTTAATGAACAAGTAAATAAACTCTTTCATTATATATAAAAATTACATTTATATTATGAAAAAAAGTCAGATTATATATGTAAAATAATAACAATATTTTTAATGTGAATATACAATTTTCACACACAATGTGTGTAAACAATTACTTATTTAATATAAATAACAAGGCAAGGTGTTCAAAAACTATTCAGAATATCATTAACAAATACTTATAATAAGTATATTTTAATTAACTTTAAAATTTATGTAATTAAACTTTATATTTACTTGTTTTAGACTAGAAAGCATACACCATACACTGCTCACTTGCCATTGCATTGCTCATTTGATATAGTGGAGCTTGATCTGAAACCACCTTATGTGACCAATGAAGCACTTGAAAATTTTGCAGGTATGCCATCTACCAATTAAAATATTATACTTATATTCTAATAATATTGTAAATGTGAAAGTTTGTAAGGTTGTATGGATGAATGGATGTATGTAAGTTACTCTTTTACGCAAAAGCTACTTAATTTTAATGAAATTTAATAATATTATAGCTCCATACATCAGAATAACATAAAGGCTACTTTTTAGCCCGGAAAAATGTGCGGTTCCCATGGGATAGATTTGTTTTTGTTTTTCCAGAGGCGAACCCGAGCGTAGCGGGGGTAAGCCGCTAGTAATAAATAGTTTTGTTAATACTCATTTTTACCTTTCAAAAGTTTATTCCCTTGATGTAATTTTACTTCCTATTCACAGCGGAACTGGACCGTCGAGCTCGAATACGAGCAAAACATGAACGCGAAGAGCGTCGCCGTGAACGCGCCTATCGTAGGCAAATGGAAGGTCCACCAAAACCAGATTTTTCATCTGAACTATTATTCCCTCCGGCGCCGCCTATTTATGGTAGTCCACCGCTCACAGAAATTTCTATGCCAAGCTCGGAAACTCCATCTTCAATTGCGGTATCACCAAGTGTATCAGAACAAGAAAGCCCATCTACAAGTACTGCTTCATCTTCAGGATTATCTTTTGCTAAAGTAAGTATGTCAGTGTAATGTAACATTACTCATAATTTTGTGATTTTATCAGTATGTATGAATGCACCAGGGGCACAGTAATCAATAGATTGCTTTTCCTTCTCCCACTTAGTGACTTACTACTTTATATGGTGTATTTAATACTGACGACGACGACGATTACGACACGTTTGGCTCAGTTCGTATTGACCCTACTTGCAGTGCCAGCGGTCGCGGGTTCGAATCCCGCTGGGGGCATCATTTGTGTGATGAGCACAAATGTTTGTACTGCAGTAATGGGTACTTATATTTATAATATGTATGTATTTAAAGTTATATATGTGTAATGTATCAATTATCTGGTATCCATGACTTAGGCCTCGTAGCTTACCATGGAACTGGATAGTTAATGTCCCAACATATTTATTATTATTTATTATACTTACCTTTAAATGTGTCCTGCACATGTTTGTTTAGCGCAACTACTGTGTTATGGAATGGTATAAAATATTGATTATATCATGTGTGCTGTTTGAGTGTGAATATGAATATATAATATTACTCAGATTTAACTTTAGAGAAGTATTATTATTATTTTTGAAGAAGTAAAACTTCTTTGGGACATTTGGAAATAATTATGACGGTAAAATTTTTACGATGCGGCGCGCACACCGACAGCCAAAAAGCGACATGATGAAGTTAGCTTATAACTGTTTTTGGCAAATAATATTATATTCTTTCCTAAACTGATATTCTATAAATATATGATTGTGATATGCCTAGTATGCCTTATTTAATAATTTTATTAGTTATCATTCCTTTTACGAACGGAGAGTTGTGGCATACGGGATGAAATCTTTAGCTATTTTTGTTCTGTTACTCCAAAGAAGTATAACATCTTACGTGCGCACATAAAGTGTTTTTTAAATTGAAATTAACAATTCATTGTCATAATTCCAGATGGCTAGCGCTAGTGGAACATGGCGTGTACGTAAAACAGTAGCTCCACCACCGCCGCCCCCCACCAATGAAGACGAAATGTCTGGTCCTCGTGCCCTAGTACTAAGCGACGCAATAGAGGCTGCTTTATTGGCTACAAGCCCTACCGCTCAGCCATCGGGCAAAAAGAACAAGAAGGCTAAACAAAAAGTACTCTTTGCCACTGGAATGCATCGTGCATCTTAAATAATTCATTATAATAGGTCAAAAGAAGTTATAAATACAGCAAAGAAAAAATTGTTCTGTGTTTTAAAATTAAATGATTATAACGTTTTGTTTTGAATATTGTCAAGCTTTTTACTGTCACATTTTAATTTCACAAGAAATAGCTATATTTAACATTATATTGTATTTTGCTTGTTAATATATATGGTTACAGATGGATGTATTAGTGAATAATCTACTAAGTAGTTGTTTGCTCTCGATTGTCGTTAACTGGGATTAAACAATAAAGTTATAATTATGATCGGTATTCGTGTTTCATTTGCACCTCCGTCATAATTGTTTGAAATATTTTTAATTTTTATGAGTCACTCATCCTCGCTCTGCTCGGGTTCTCCCCTTCTTCCCCTAGTTAAAAAACTCATACCAACTAAATATACAGAAAAAAACATTAAAATCTGTCGAGCCGTTTCGGAGCGGTGCGACCACAAACACCGTGACCCGAGATATTTATATATTAGATAATTGTATGAATAACACAACAAAAATACTCTAGGAGATGAATATATAACGGTGGGTAATAAGTACTCGACCTCGAGGCCCAAATATTCTTTACCGTGGCAGTGCTAAAATTCACCCAGTGACTATTTTAGACAGCAACGACGACACTTGCACGCTATAATGAACAGTTCTAATTATTTATCTTTACAAACTTCTTCAGAAGTTGTGTCGTTGTCGGTCAGTTTGTAACGTTTAGTAGAAATGAACGAACATGTATAAATAATCATTAATAAGTTATACAAAGGGGAGAAGGTTTTCCGAACGAATTATGTATCTAAAGAAATCCAGTTTTTTTTAATATATCATTAAAATTTAAAATCTTAGCCTTAATGGTCAATGGAAGAATATTTAGATTTTTCGATATTGCATAAAACTATTAACCACAGATTAGGGAGACTACATAATAACGGTTACAAGTTAATCTTTATTTCATAAAAAAGTCAATGTATATTTCTATAAAGCTGTCCCATATACGTTGTTCAATATAACTGTTTATCGATACTTCGTATACTACTCTTTATTTTTGTATTATTTAGCTAAATTATGTTTTAACCATTAAAAACAAAACAAATACCTAAAATATTATTCATTTTTCCAACGCAAGCTACAAAATAATAAGTTAAAATATAAAACTATTTGCTAAGATATTAAAAAAATCTGGTTTTCTCCTGTATTGCATTTTTATATATGTAGCAATATACTCTATGATTGCGTTTAAAACGTGTAAATGTGGACGTTTCTAAAAATTGATTGATAAGGTCGTTTTTAAAATAAAAAAAATACAACATAAGATTAAAACTCTTTGTAGAACTCTCTTTGTAGTTTGTAACAATTTTTATTGTTGTGATTTCGCCGATTTTGGTCGTCTTATTGCTTTAGTCCACAATTTATTCAGTTTTGCCTTTTTAGAACAAATGATATTCATTTTCTTTGCATCTCGCCACTGTACAATTTGTCATTTTAATTAAATTTTAAATAAAATGAAAAAAAAAACAATCCATGCTATAAAACCTTTACAATAAACTGAGCGCTATAGTGATCGCGACATCTGGCGGGAGAAAAAGGCAAAATTCTTTCTCATTGTGTGGAATTAACAAAAATTAACTCATTTCACTCATTTGCGATACAGTATACAAACTGAGCCAAACGTGTCGTCGAATTTTTTTACTAATTTTAATAAGTCAGCTATGTTTTAGTCAATCGAATCAATTTTCTTGTTATTGGCTTCTTATACAAATAGACCAGGGTAGAAGCCTTTAAAAATAATAAAAAGTGAAAAAAAAATAATAGTAGGATGCAACCCATTAGAAAAGTAGGGAAATATTATAAAAATGAAAGGAAAAATAATTTACGGGCGATCTGAGGTCAGGAAGGGGATGGGGGTGAGTTTTTAAGGGTAAAAAACAGTTTTTCTCGATTTCCGGCAAAACTAAAAGTCCTATCGAAAAAAGTCAAATGGCAAAGTTGTAGGTAATAAAAAGATCTAAAACTCTTGTATTTACACTTTTTTCACATAATCTCAAAATTTATGTGAATAATTCAAAAAACCAAGTTTTTGGTTTTTTATTTTTATCTTTTACAATTTTTTTTAACGAAATTTGGTGAAAACTTACCTTTTTATGTCCCAAATACGCTGTAATTTTTATTTTTTATTTTTATTGATTAAAATATGTATTTTTTCACCTTATTTTAAATTAATATCGAAAAAGCACCCTAATTTTCAATCGAAAATTCACCTGTTAAAATATCAGCTTTTTCAAAAAGTTGGTATGTTTTCTGTTCGTTGAAATCTTTACTTTCCGATGGTGAAAAAAATATATATGTTACTATAGTAAATCTTCTGAGAAAATGCAAAAAACAAAAAACCTTTTTTATTTCATACACTTGCTTATCATCTGCCTTATTGCAGATGATACAAACAGATTCATCCATACTGATAATCTGAAAAGACAAAATCGAATTAATAATGCCTTCACTATTTTATCGTGAGTATACCCCCATGAAAAATTTTTATTAAAGAAATAAATGTCAAAATGCATAAAAAATATATGTTGCATGCCAGTTTAAAACAGATTACTTCGCAGGTACCCTACCCCAGCCTGCAAATTTATGATATTCGCAATGAAAAAAATACTAATCGATAGATTTTTAATAGCTCAATTCAACTACGTAGCCCTTCCAAATTGCTCACCATTAATTATAAAATTAAAAATCAATAAAGTCCTTGAAAAAAAATTCATTTATCCGTATATTCAAATTTCTATATCTTTTGATATATACAATATTTTAAATTGCTCAAAGTTCTAAAATACTGCTCAAGTTGCATTTGTAATTGCTCAAGTAGAGTTCTCACCAGCTCCACTTTCCTTAATTATTAAATAAATATAAATAGTTTGAATAAATTTAACGTATAGATAGGTGAGTGCTGCGTGGTGCTGCTGGTAATGTTGTGCTTGGAGTATTACAGTTTCATTTCCCTATGATGAGGTTATGAAACACTTGATTTTTTTGCCTTGCGACTCGCGTTACTGTTTGCGCGCATGCGCACCACTCACCTATCTATACGTTAAATTTATTCAAACTATTTGTATTTATTTAATAATTAAGGAAAATGGAGCTGGTGAGAACTCTACTTGAGCAATTACAAATGCAACTTGAGCAGTATTTTAGAACTTTGAGCAATTTAAAATATTGTATATATCAAAAAATATAGAAATTTGAATATACGGATAAATGAATTTTTTTTTCAAGGACTTTATTGATTTTTAATTTTATAATTAATGGTGAGCAATTTGGAAGGGCTACGTAGTTGAATTGAGCTATTAAAAATCTATCGATTAGTATTTTTTTCATTGCGAATATCATAAATTTGCAGGCTGGGGTAGGGTACCTTTACTTCGCCAATGTTACAATGGAGAAGACAGATAATAAGTTTTTGTCATCCATGGTTTTAAGTACCTCGAGGTTATCATTTGTCATTTCTGACAACTGCCCAGACTGACTGTGACATATTGTCAAAACTCAAAATAGACTACTTTCGGTAGTTTTCTTGTAAAATAATATTAAATCTCCAATTTTATGTGTAAATTTGAATACAATCTATTTTATAGAAATATAAAAGTTATCAGTTGAGATGATTTCTTCTAAAAAAGAATATGTCTTTGAGCCGTTTAAAGTAACTGAGGTAAAATATCGTGGATCTACGAGCCCACGGCCCAGAAGTGGACACAGAATAGCTTGTGATGATGTTAATATATACTGTTTTGGCGGCTATAACCCATATTTACCATTCAACACAATACAGAGGACCAACCCGACGTGGACGCCAGCAATGCCATTGTTTAAAGAGCTTTGGAGTTTCTCTATAGCAACAAGAAAATGGAAACAGCACATAGCAATAGAGAATATGCCTGAAGAATTAGCTTCAAATGCAATGTGCATGAATGGAAATTATTTAATGGTATGTATTTGTTATGGAAAGTAATTATGATAAAGGTAGTTTTAAAGCATTTCAGGTACCAGTTAAGCCAAGTAAGTTACTTAATTAAACAACTAATCAAGTGTAATACAATTTCAGATATTTGGAGGTACTGGTGCTCCTTTTGGTACTAAATGTAGTAATGATGTTATAACTTGGCGTACTTGCAGTGGTGATGCAAAACTACAAATCCTAGATGCTACGGGACCTAGACCTCCTGGACAGTATGGACAATCAATATTATGTTATGATGGACACTTTTATACGATTGGAGGTACAAATGGATTTGCATATAACTGTGATATTTATAGGTCAGTATTATCATATGTAGGTTTTAAATAATGTAACTTAAAGAGAAAAATGTAATAATATTTCTATTATCACTCAACTAACAATTGGAATTTATATTATGAGAGAATTTAAATATGAAAATTTGTGCTATTTTTTTTTTAGATTAGATTTGCGGACAATGGTTTGGGAACCAGTTTATATAGGAACTGGACAAGAAGGGGAGCCTTTGGGCAGATACCGGCATGAGGTAGTTAGAGTTGGTAGCAAACTCTTCATTATAGGGGGTGGCACGGGCGATTGGGCTTTTGAGCTCATGGAAATACCTATGTATGACCTTGAAACAAATACATGGACTAAATTAATACCAAAGGCAGATGACACTACAAAAAATACTGTAGCCCCATTGGCAAGGAAATGTCATAGTGCAGTGCAAATAAAGACTCCCAGTGGTGCTCAAGTGTTTGTTGCTGGTGGTACTGATGGACAAGGAGTTTTTGAAGATATTTGGAGGCTAAACATATCTGATATGCAATGGCATTTAATGCAAAAAAGTGTGCTTCCTCATCCATTATACTTTCATTCATCAACAGTGACTTCTTATGGTTGTATGTATGTGTTTGGCGGGATAGAACCAAAAGACAATGAAACTAGGAGAAATAATAATCTATACAAAGTTTGGCTGTGTATACCTCAGTTAAGTGAAATATGTTGGGATGCTTTGCTCAGTTTTCATCCCAATTTAGATCAAGTTAATAGATCTTCTCTTCTTGATGTGGGTATACCGAGACATTTGGTAGACAGATTGCATCCAAAATAGTTATATATTATAATCTGCTATCCCTGCTTTATAAAATGCATAATAATTTATTTTCAACCGACTTCAAAAAGGAGGAGGTTCTCAATTCGACTGTATTTTTTTTTTGTTTTTTTTTTTTTTTTATAGAGATGTCAAATTTACAGATGATCTTTACTAAAATACTACACAGTGAAGTATTTAATATTTTAAATTCAACTTGTGTTTCATTGTTATTCAGCAATTCTTATGAAAATTCATGTATAACATGTATTAATTATGCTGTATCCAAATTGCTTGTTATGTTTATAAGTTTATATTTTTTTTTGTTTAAATGAACAGATTTTTTTACTATTTAATTATTATGCATAATATGACAATAGAATACAATTTTTAATAAATGTGTGATGTTATACAGTATACTAATATCTTTTCTTTTATTATATTATCTTTTATATTACAAGATTATTCAGGAATTGACATAGGATTTATAAAAAAAGAGTTTTTACATGTTTTGCAAAACATAATAACAAATATTAAGCATGTGCCTTTTTTTATTAATGCGAAATTGCAACGTAACCAATTGTTTAGAGTGCTTTGTTTTTTATATTTTAAAATAATGTAATAGGTATGTATTTTATTCACCGGTGCACGTGTGTATGTATGCATTAGGCTGGTGTAACCAAAATTATTGCCTTTTTATATGTTGTTGTTTCGTATTTCTCATTTTATTAATTGTACGATCTAAAGAAAAAACGATAAATTCAAAATTCAAAATATTTTATTTAGCATTAAATTACTACAATTTTTACTGAACGTCATGAGTCTACTACCAGTTCGGAAAGAAGAAGCCTCAGACCTGAGAAGAACTGGCGAAAGTAACTCAGCGGGACTAATATTAACTTGTTATCTTTTTTTAAAGTAAAATTATAATTGACAATATTTCTATCAAGTTGAAGTAGCCTGGAGGCGATCATTTCATTCCCAAGGTGTGCCATCTTCTATAAAATCATTTATTGTATAATAGCCTTTAGCATACAAACGTTCTTTAACATTTTTTTTGAATTTGGCGATAGAAGCTTTTTGAACATTTTCTGGGATCCTGTTGTACAAGCGTATACATTGTCCATAAAAAGAATTACTGACTCTGTGTAGACGAGTCACAGGCATTACAAGTTTGTGTTTGCTCCTAGTATTAATATTATACATGTCACACTTCTTGAGAAATTTGTGTGTATTTTTACGGACATACATAACATTTTCGTACACGTGAAAGTCCCGTCAAAATCAGTCCAGCCGTTTCGGAGATTAGCAGGAGCAAACAGACAGATAAAAAAACGTGTTTTCCTTATTAATATCTATACTAATATTATAAATGTAAAAGTTTGTGGGTATGGATGTTTGTTACTCTTTCACGCCAGAACGGCTGAACGGATCTGGATGAAATTTGGCACAGAGATAGATTATAGTCGGGGATACACATAAGCTACTTTATCCCGGAAAAATGTACGGTTACCGTGGGATAGGGTTATTTTTGTTTTCCGAGGATGAACCTCTAGTTTTATATAATTTCATATGCTTGTAGTAAAAAGCTGTTATTTTAAGGAGCTGGATCATGGATGATGATGATATTTGATGCTAACTACTTTTCATACTGTGCGTAGGTACAGTTTGAATACTTAGGTTTTTAATATGATTTGAGTATGACATTAGTAATATTAGTATGTTTGTAATTTCTTCACACTATAAGTTGTAACATATACTTTTTCTTTATATAAATAAGCGACGCCGCGGGCATAAACAAGTAAATATAATTTCAGAGTCAAATTTTAATTGGCAATCCAGTAAGAAACTTGTTTTCACAGGGATAGAATGGCAAGTATATGTGTTTACTCTATTATCTATACATAAAATAAAATTGTAACTAAGCCGAATCTGTACATTAAATATTCTTTGGAAAATCTTATTGAAATAGACGTTATTATCGATACAGAGGCCGAATCTATAGTTTTTAGGCTTTTTGTCTGTCTGGCTGTCTGCTACCGCATCATGGATAAACCACTGGAGGGATTTTGATGAAATTTGGTATGATGATAGCTGGTTATCCGGGTCAACATATAGGATACTTTTTACCGCGGGAAAATGTCTCATTTCTGAGAAAAAATACAAAAACTGCAATGTAAGAGTAAAGAGTATACTAATATGTAAAACCTAAGAATTTGGTTTTTGGTCATCTGAACGCGGGCGGAGCCGCAGGCAATGCTAGTTACAAAACAAAAAAGCAACACCCTCGCTTCGCTCGGGTACGTCCCTATATACATTTTAAATATGTAGATAAAAATAGTTATTGTCAGGGTACCTTAAGATAGATATATAGGTAGACGCTATTGCGAAATTTTCTGTAGGCCTTTTTAAGATCTACTTTCTAGTATATATGTTTTAATGTATCTCTAAAGGGTTAGCCAATTTACTAATACTGATAAATGTAACCACTAATCATACAAACGCAGTTTAGCCATTTTGTGTAAAATATTTTCGTTTATCGCGTATTCTATATAGTTTTAGTGAATGTATCAAATCTATACCTATCAAATCCCGTTGCGTGGTTTAGTGTTAATCGTGTTGGCTTACCACATAATTCGTGTTGCTGGGTCATCTCTGGGACTAAATCCTCTTACGATTCAGGTTAGAACCACTTAAAGGATTTCAAAGATTAGCCTGGTTTCAAAATAGTTATTATCCACCCTTAAGGATATCATAGATTTAATTTAAAAAAATAAAATAAAAATAAAAATAGTTGGCGATTATATCATGTAATATGATGTTATATATTACTAGCATTGCCCGCGGCTCCGCCCGCGTTCAGATGACCAAAAACTAAATTCTTAGGTGTTACATATTAGTATACTCTTACATTGCAGTTTTTGTATTTTTCCTCAGAAATAAGATATTTTCCCGCGGTAAAAAGTATCCTAGGATCGCGCGCTACATCGCACGGTTTATATAGCTTGAGCAGGCGGTCGAGCGATGCGGGGCAGAGGGGATGGACTCGCCGTAGGCATCTCAATGCTCGCCAAGCATTAAAAATGTTTCGCTACTAATTACTTCTAACAACGATATCTCAAAAACTATTCATCTGATTGATTTAGTGTAAAGAGCAATTTTAATCTGCATTAAATGACTAAGCTAACTAAAATATTCATTTGGATAAGGATTAATACCGAACTAAAGAAAATAACTTTGAAAATAACGTAATGTTTTTAATTAAAAATGTTAACATAAAAGTGGTTATTGTAAGTCAACCGTAAGAGATAGAGATATGCTATCGCGGACTTTTTTGTAGCATTTTTATAGATTTTGAATTCTCTAGTACATTACTTAACTGTATCTTTGCTAGTTTACGCGGCGTTCGCGTGGAAAGTTCCCATTTGGCGAGATTTTTTGCGACCTCTTCAACATTTGTCGCCGTATTTCAGCTAATTTACATAAAAGCATAATAAATTATATACCTAAACCTTCCTCAAGAATTACTCTTTCTATTGTTGAAAACCGTATAAAAATCCGTTCAGTAGTTTTCGAGTTTATCGCGTACAGACAGACAGGAGGACAGACAGGAGGACAGAAAGACGCGGCCGGGGGACTTATTTTTATAATAAGTATAGATAGATGTACATAAAATCATTTAATTATAAATCTTCTCTTTTCTTCATATAATAAGGCCGTAACTTTGCAAGTAGTTATTTGTACTTTGATACATACAATATATTAAGCTCAATATATTTTTCAAGTGCCTATCAATTGTAAAAGCGTCTGTTATAAGCGTTATATAAAAATGAAATATGACATGTGAAATAAGACAAGAGTACTTTTATATCTATACATATAATAAAACTGTAACTAAGCCGAATCTGTACAATAAATATTTTTTGGAGATTCTTATTGAAATATCGATACAGAGGCCGAATCTGTAGCTTTTAGAAATTTTGTCCGTCTGTCTGTTACCGCATCACGGAAAAACCACTGAAGGGATTTTGATTAAATTTGGTATGATGATAGCTGGTTATCCGGGTCAACATATAGGATAATTTTTACTGCGGGAAAATATCTCACCTCTGAGAAATCTATAACAAACTTCAAAACGTAAGTAGGGACGAACCCGAGCGGAGCGATGGTGAGTCGCTAGTGATGTTATAATATATTGTACCTACTTTGTTACATAGTAAAATTTAGTGTGTGAAATAGATTTATCATATATGGGTATACTGTTATATTATTTTATCTTGCAATGATTTTATGATTTACAGAGATACAGGTAGCTTATCTCGTAAGGTATCTCGGGAATAAGACGGGGGAGGTTCTGTTGGGTTGTAAGAGCTTTTCTAGCCAAAGCGTCCCATATAATCACCTGTATGTATACAGGTGGAATACGTACATGCATTTCCCAACATAAAAAGTACCTTGTATCTAAAAAATTAAATAGAACTTTCATATTTTAACGACTTTATTAAATACTAAGAGTCTGAGCTAACTCCTTGTCATTCGTGTAGGGGTTGAATTTTAAACCCCTTTTGTAACGGGTTTACCTATAAACCAGTATGTCATTATAGGGAAATTAACTTAGGAAAAGTTAGACACAACTTTAACTCCTTTACATTCATTAGTTACCTAAGTCTGATCGTTGTTGATCTGTAAGAACATGCAACTTTGCTTAGGTAACAGGTATAGGTACGTGTATAGGTTATCTATCTCTTATGTGTATAGATTTATCTTATGTGTATAGGTCTTCTCATATCTAAAAGCTTAAAGAGAAATAGTTTCCATGCTATTAAGATAACAAGATTATTTTTTTCTAAAAGGTAAAGATCATCTGGATTCATTGTCAAGGGTAATCGTGGTAATCGCAACAAGTGTGCGTCGGCGTAGGGCGTGCTTCCCAATCGGTGTGGTTTCGCGCCAATTCGCGCCCGCAGTGAAGGAACACTCGCCGCACGGGCGGGACATTCGCGGTCTCGCGATCCCACACACGATAACCGATTAGTTAAAATACTATGTCTGATGTGATAACATATCTCGTATATTGACTATATTAATCATCTTCAAATAAGACGTTTACATTAAAAAATGACACATAGCAAACTAAATCCAAATGACGGCTGTATCCGTTTTGATGATGCGCTATTTCGAAATATGTTATAGAAAGTGTGGAAAGTGATCCGTTCGTCATGACCGAGGAAGCGGTAACGGTGAGCGCGACGGCAGCGGTCGCCCCGGTGCCTCACCGGTCTCCTACACCCGAATTGCATGCCACGTATACTTCTTTAGAAATTTTAGTGGCTCTAGTTGCCGTTGTGGGAAATTCTATGGTTATACACGTTTTCCGCCGGGATAGAAGATTACGGCGAAGAACAAATTATTATATAGTGTCTTTAGCAATAGCGGATTTATTGGTCGGCTTGCTTGGGATCCCATTTGCGATATTAGCTTCAGTGGGCCTGCCGAGGAACCTCTACGCATGTCTGTTCACGACCTCGTTACTTGTGATGCTGTGCACTATAAGCATTTTCTGCCTCGTAGCGGTGTCCGTAGACCGTTACTGGGCCATTCTTCATCCTATGTGCTACTCCCGCAATGTGCGAACTAAAACAGCTATACGTAAGTACTCTAATAAACTTAAAATGTTTAATTTAATACTAATATATAAAGATAAAGAATTTGTTTGTTATATAAATGAGCTAATCGTTGGAGCTACCAGTCGTATTTAAAGAATTCTCTTTACATATATTATATTAGAATAGGCTATACAAATTTATTAATTGAGTAAGCTTATAGGCTACGTAGCACCACGCTACGACCTTTATGAGCACTTAGATAAATACTTAGATTAATAAATAACTCGGACGAGGCCGCAGGCGAAGCTAGTATAGTAAGACAGTAAGTGATTGATCACTGTACCTAATAACATAATATATACAATCACAAACCGCCTCATTTAATAAGATAACAAAAGTGAACTTTCTATCTCGTATTACTTTTTTTTTCATATAAACAATACCGTAAGCAGAAAATGAATGATATATTGTAACACTTTTATTACCCTAACCTTATAAGGCCACTGATAGTGACCATATACGAGGCGTCAACAGGTATCGTTTATTAATTATTACCGTCGTTACTCGCGCACAATACACACCAATTCCTTACCGGTTCGATAATTGTTTTTATAATACTTCTAGAATGATTTGTTGATCGCCTTCAACGCATTATTTAATTCGTCTATTTAGCTGACAGCTTGTTTATTTAAAATTCCATTAAATATCTATTAAAAGCGCAAGTTTTCGTAAATCTCATTGATAGAATAATAATTTACGTATGTATTTAGCTCTTTTTAACGTCCCACTGCTAGGCACGGGCCTCCTTTCAATAAGAGGGAGATCAGGACATAGTCCACCACGCTGGCCAAGTGCGGGTTGGCGGACTGCACATGTCTTTCGAAAACTTGCTAGGTTCTTTCAGACATGCAGATTTCCTCACGATGTTTTCCTTCACCGTCAGACAAGTGGTTATCATGTTGGAAATGATTCGCACATGAAAATATCAGAGGTGCAAGATAACTTACGTGCTACGAATTAATAGAAGTTTGTATATAAGATAAAGGTTGCCTATTAGTATTAGACCTGAACGGTACCAATAGTTATGAGATTTCGGTGCTTGTAACATATCTATATGCGAGTCATATTATGTAGGTGTATTTAGTTACGAGGTTAAATACGTATTTAGATGATAAGAATAATATTAACGATAAGCGCAAAATGAATCATATTTTTTATTCTTTTTCGAAAATAGAAACATCAATTTTATTTATTGCTAACTACTGGCTGTGGTTTTATCCGTTTTTATTTTTAGTTTACACCCACTTATCCTAAACCCTGACTTATAAAAGAACGGTAAGTAAAATTTTAAATAAATTGATTCGAATCTTATTATTTTACCCATAATTACGCATGCTAGTATCGAAGCAGTAAGTAGTAAAACACCCTTGAAAAGTTTGTAAATAAAGGAGCAAATAACAAATTCAAGATAAGTCGTTCTATCAAATATTCATCGAAAATATTTATTAACATACACGAGTACTAGGTAGAAATTACTGTGTAGCTTCTCTTCCAAATATGTTTAACACGACCATTCTGTCTTCAGAAACAGTTAATTTTTCTTGATGACTTTTCTTATTTCGATTTCTATACTCTAGGAGTTAGGTACTTATGAGTCTTGTAAAAATCTTGTTATATTCAAAATAAATTAGTATTTTAAAGGTGCAAGTACTGAAAACTGTGAACGAGGCAATGGACGCATTGTATGTATTTATTAGTGTTGTCGCTGTTAACCATGGTTGTGGTTGTGGTGTCGAAAGTATCTCGATTAAGGTGATGTGGCCCGCGTGGTTTGTAGACTCCGGCGACGGGCTCCACTATGAGTTTTAGTGAGGAATCTTACAGTGCCTGGCCACTGACGGCCGGTAGGCACTATCATGGCTTTTCCCAGGTTCAACAAAATAAAAAAAATGTTGAAATTATCGTAGTCCAGTCCGCAGGCAGACAAGGGACAAGTTTAATAATAATATTACATTTACATTTCATGCAATGTTACGCTTGGAAACTATATTTATATTTAGAAATTATATTTTCTATCATTTTGTATGTAGGTATAATAATAATATTCTCCTAAACGACTTTAGCCACAGCGGCTCATCTTACCGAGATTAGCTATTTGTATTCAGCCCTTTTTGACGTCCCACTGCTGGGCACGGGCCTCCCAATACGAGGGGGATCAGGCCATAATCCACCACGCTGGCCAAGTGCGGGTTGGCGGACTTCACATGTCTTTCGAAAACTTGCTAGGTTCTCTCAGACATGCAGGTTTCCTCACGATGTTTTCCTTCACCGTAAGACAAGTTGTAATCATGTTGAAAATGATTCGGACATGGAAATATCAGAGGTGCGAGACCCGGGATTTGAACCCGCTTCACTCGGTTGCCCAAGCGAGCGCGTCACCACTGGGCTACCACTGCCACTATATTTTCTTAGTTTTTATTATTTTTCGTTAGATGGGTTGGTTATAGGTACATGTAACTACATTTGTTTTAAAGCAGCCAGCGAGTGCTAATATTTTCGAACGATGTCATAATATTCACTTTTAGTGCACGACGTGCCTTGCTAAAGTATTATAGTTATAATATTATACGAGTAAGTATATGCAATGGATACTTACACAGTACAATTCGTTTCTAATATTATGAATTCTACTGTTATGTTTGTTGCTTTTATGGGTTGTTGTTTGTCTTTCTCTTATACATTGGAAATGGCGTGTCTTTAAGAGTTTTGCTTAGTTATATCTATAAAAATTAGCATAGAAATCTACTATTTGCGATATGGTTTTTTTATAAGAATGTTTGTGAATGTTTTTATAATAAAAGGTCTGATTTTTGATTATGTATTTAAAAACATAATATGTGGAGATTATAGATTATATACTAAGGTACAATCTTAGGATCGTAAATTATTTAAGATATATTCAACAAAAGTTTAAAATTTTTGTGGCTTTGCATTAAAAAAACTTTTGTTCCTGCTTATGAATTACCGTAACATTTTTTCAGAGAGACGTGTGTACATATTCATACTTTAAGTTATTTATTTTTTAGGTTTCTGTATATCTCTATATAAATATAAAATCTTTTTATATATCAAATATAAACTTATTTTTCCTTTTTTTAAATCTTCTTAAATAGGTACTTTAAGGAACTTCATCATCATGACTTTAAGTTTACTGCATGTAACATCGTAAGTACTATAAATTATTTAATCATATGATATTATAATGACAAATTTTCAGTCTATCTAGTATTTATTTTTATAAGATGGAGTGTAATTTACGACATTGACTGACTAGGAGAAAAGAGGTATTTCTTTTGTACACCATTTGTTTACAAAATTACTCAATTCGACAATAAACGTCAAAAGTGCTCTCTCTGTCTATCTGTCAGTACAGATAGTAATAGAAGACAAATTATGTAGAGATATATATTATATAGAAAATATAAAAATAGAGAGCGCAATGTACATTTCAAATACATATTTATCTTTAATTGAAATGAGGGCCTTGACGTTCATTTCAGAAGTTAATTGTGTCAAGGAAAGGTATATATGGCTGCCTCGGTGGTGTAGTGGCTAGCATGTACGGCTGCACACCCAGAAGTCCTGGGTTCGAGTCCCGGGTCGGGCCAAATTTAGTTATTGAGTCTTTCTGTATAATAAGCCTCAATAACAGCCCGGAGTTGAGAAGTTGGCGGTGCTCCACCCCCGTGCCTCGGAGAGCACGTTAAGTCGTCGGTCCTGCGCCTTAACTCTCACCGGTCGTGTCGAGCAGTCGTCCCACCGGAGTATGAGAGTGACAGGAACAGAGAGTGCGCCTGTGTCTGCGCGTACACTTGTGCATTATAATATCTCCTGTGCAGTTTGGCTAGTCTCAATGAGATTGGCCGCCGCGGCCGGAATCGGTCGGGAGAACATCATCATCATCATCATAATATTATATAATGTAATGTACCTACTTATATATGTACTTACAATTGGACGTATTCAGCCCTTATTAACGTCTTACTACTAGGCAGGAGCCTCCCGTCAAGATGACGGACTTTCTAAAACTTGATAGCAAGACAAACAGGCCTCACGATGTTTTTGACTCGGGATTTGAACTCGCTTCACTCGGTTTCTCAAGAAACTGCGTCACCACTGGGCTAACACTGCCTTGATATTACAAATGGATATGTTTGGTAATGCTTATGTTACCAGGAAACAGGTTAAAAACAATAATAATTCTTAGATATCGCTTCAAGATTAAATTGTGTTGTTAGGTTGAACAAACTACTTCTACCACACCTATCTTTTGACGGACGTTATTAAGAGTATTACATGTGTTTTGACGTTAATGCCCTTTGTTAATTGTTATAATGTGACCACTTGATTGAGTGGTAATAACTTATATCATAGGTTTGGTCCTTTTTTCTACAAATATGTACATATGTTCAATGTGTAATTTCAAATTCAAATCAAATTTCAAAATGTAAAAAAAGGTTTAAATTATAAAAAAGAAACCTTTAGTGAAATAAAAGGACAAGAAAACTTATAATATGCACCAGATTAAAATCCAAAAAAGTATACAGCCTATCAATCACGAGGTAGATACTCTCTGGTAATTAGCTTATTATTTATGAATTAATAGATGCTGGTGTTTTTCCCAGTGTTAGTTCCACTTCCGGTTTACAGAAAAAATATAACGAAACCCTATAATTTTTAAATGTATTTAGTATTGACTGTTTATTATTTAGCCAATCCAGCTAGCATAAACAATAATAACAAAAATGTAAATAAGTCAAAACTAAAGGGTATAGCCGTACTTCTATGGCGAAACTGCCCCCGATAGAAACCCATATCGTAACCAATGTTATATGTATTGTAGAGGACACTAACAGTAATTGATCCAGTAGATGTTAACTCTATATCTTAGTTAATTGAGGAGCTATTTGAAAAAAAAATTCCGGGGACGACTTTTTTTCAAAGCGATATGTCTTAAGTTAATTTCAAAGCTAGCAAAATAAAACTAAATGTAAGTGTATATAGTAGACTTTATAGTGTATTTTGTAGTCGTTTCCTATAAACCAAGCCTAAATAAAAGTATTAAAAAAATTCAAATAAAAATTTTGTCGTGTTGCAAGTAAAAATCGATTTCTATCTGATCCAATTAAATTACCACTTTGAAAAAAATACATAATAATTGTCTATATATTGTCTATTAGCATGCTAAGTTTAATTAAAATCCAAGAGGTGCAACATATCAAAAAAAAAACAAAAGTAAGTGAGCATGCAGTTTACGAACACTATGTTAACACTTTTACATTGTTAGTTTTTTAATATTGAGCACGAAAGGTATAAAAGGAAATAGAATATATTTCCTCAATAGAAATTAAACCGGTTTTGTTAATTGTGGGTAGGCTGTTTGTAACAACTATATAATACCTTAGAGACATCTAACACCTCAGTCTCTCCCGTGACCATGATTGCTCTAAAGCATTCGAAACGTCGGGAACCAAAAATCAAAATAAATTGGCGAAAAAATCCGAAAAGATAGTTTTATTTAAACCGGTATTCATTAAAAAAATCTGTTATTAGTCATCATCACTATCTTCATTAATTACAACGTGCTCGTTTTTTATAGAAAAAAAACTGGATAATATTTCTGCCGGGCGAACTATACCACCACCACCCCCGCCGCCTAAGTAACAGTGAACAATAGAACTGGTTTGTATGGAGAGTTCGTAAAGCTCTGCTGCTGATTCCTAAATTTTAAGCTTTTGTTTAAGCTCCCGTCACATTTTATTTAACATTCAATGTACAATCCTTATTCCAATTGGACCCAGTTATGCAAAAATAAGCCATGTGCGTAAAAGTACCAACAGAGTTATAAGCATTTTTCTGTCGATAGTTGCACTTGGGTTAGGTTTTGTTTTTCTGGTTATTTTAAAATTGAACAATATTTACATAAGTATTGTTTATTTTTTATAATTATTTTATTTTTTATAATAAAATGCTTATAACTCCGTTGGTACTTTTACGCACATAGCTGTTTTTTGTATAACTGGGCCCAATTATAGTTAAGTTAATAAGAAAACAGATGAAGTCCAGATTCATTAGTGGTACCTACCATAATTTCGAGTTTATTAATTCATTTCATAAGAAGTTTATAATTAATACTTTTAGTGAAACGAAAAATTAAAAGAGCGTCGGAATCTATAGAATCACCAAATTTCAAAACTCCCAGAAAACTTTCTCCCTATAAACTTACTAAACTACTAAACTTTTAGCCGTGTGGTGGCGGCTTTAGAATACATTCCACCACCCCTCTCTTTCCCGTGGGTGCCGTAAGAGCCGGCTAAGGGATTTACTTAGCAGAACACCTGCCTCACTGGTGGTAGACGTTAGTCGACCGGGTTGGTACCACCGTGCAGTTGCGAAACATCCGCCATAGTGATCCGGCGTAGGCCGGCTCGCGTTCCGGAGTCAGCGCTGCATAGCCGACAAGTGGTTAAATTTTGTAGCGAGTAAGGGACCGATAAGCGCTAGAAAGCATGTTCTAAATGGCATCAGTCGGCCCGCCGGCCAGGGAGACCTGTAGAAACGGTGGTGCCGCTGGCCGCCCGCGGCATAGTACAGGGGCCCGATTGGGACTAACCATTCCAGGAGGCTGCCCCACCAGGCCGCGCATAATCTTGGAGTAGCTCGTCGTGCCGGATGGTGACCGGATGTGGGACCCGGCGACTACTTCCGGGGGGGTACGGGAGCCCTTCCGTCCGGCGGACCGGCTTGTGTCATTGCATGCACTCTAGATTCCTTTTTGTTCCTTCTCTGCTATAGTATCTGACCACTTTTTTTGTGCTCCGTTTTTTTCCCCTCTCCGTCCTACTATGACAGCGCGAATTCCACATTCAGGTTTTACAGCGGCAACTTCTACACCCTCCCACACAAAAACGTCATTTGAGGTTGAGTTCGCCAACATCCGCGGGCTCCATTCCAACCTCAACGCCGTACATCAACATCTTGAGACAGTAAGACCTGCAATGCTTTTCCTAACGGAGACTCAGATACTTCCCCCTGCAGACATATCATACCTACAGTATCCCGGCTACATCCTTGAAGAAAATTTTGTCGGAAAAGCTGGAGTGTGCCTGTATGTTAGGGCAGGTCTCTGCTGTCGCCGATTGCGCTGTTTGGAAGACCCCTCCTTTTCTGTCCTATGGGTACATGTTGATCAAGGACCTATTAATTATATATACGTGTGCCTTTACCGTTCCCACACTGGAGATAATGAGACCACTCGACTATTTGATTATCTTAGTCAGACGGCAGATGATGCGCAGGAGCAGTTCCCCAATGCAGAACTGGTGTTCTTGGGGGATTTTAATGCTCATCATGAGACTTGGTTGGGTTCCTCCAAAACTGACCACGCAGGACGAACTGCTCACGCCTTTGCTCTCACGCATGACCTGACACAGCTGGTACTCCAGCCCACCAGGATACCTGACATTGTCGGTCAAGCTCCTTCCTTGCTGGACCTCTTGCTGACAAACGACCCAACAAAATATAACGTGAAGGTTGGAGCGCCTTTGGGCTCCTCTGACCATTGTCTAGTTGGTGCTACTGTGCCATATGTCACTCCTCCACGACCTGTGGAGGTGAAGCGACGGTTATGGCACTACTTGTCGGCTGATTGGGATGGTTTACGTGATTTCTTTGCGTCTGTCCCATGGTCTTCACGCTGTTTTGGTGAGAGAGATCCGTCCGAGAGTGCAATCGCCATCGCTGATGAAATACTATTGGGAATGGAATATTATATTCCCTTTAGTGACGTTGTCGGCGGTGGTAGATCTCGTCCTTGGTTCAACCGCGAATGTACCGATGCTGTAGAGCAGAAACAATCGGCTTATCGTGCTTGGACTAGGGCCCGCTCCCTTCGTGAACCCAATGTCGAATCTCTCAAAACTGCTTATAATGCGGCTACTAAAGCTTGCAAGAGGGCTTACATTAGAGCAGATACTCAGCGCGTAGCACGATTTGGTCAAGAACTTCTTTCGCACCCTACGGGAAGCCGTAGCTACTGGCGACTGACCAAAGCCGTGCAACGCAACTTCTGCCAGCCTACGCTGCCACCGCTACGATATCCTGATGGATCTCTGGCCCATGACGCACAGCAGAAGGCCAATATATTGGCCTCTCTGTTTGCAGCCAATTCCCGTCTCGATGACTGTGGAGCCCAACCTCCGACTTTACCATATTGTGGCACAACAATGCCTGATATCCAGATTAGGCAGCGTGATGTACGGTCAATTCTACAGTCAATCGACACCCGGAAAGCAAGTGGTCCTGATGGTATTCCTGCGATTGTTCTCAAAAATTGTGCAGCAGAGTTGGCTCCAGCACTAACGCGCCTTTACCGAAACTCCTATTCCTCAGGAATTGTGCCGAAGGCCTGGAAGGTAGCGAACATTCAACCAATCCCCAAAAAAGGTGACCGTTCTGATCCCGCCAACTACCGACCCATAGCCGTCACCTCGGTACTCTGTAAGGTGTTTGAGCGGATCATTAACTCGCAACTCATCCGCTATCTAGAAGATCACTCCATTATCAATGATCGTCAATATAGTTTTCGACCAAAACGTTCGACGGGTGATCTTCTAGCTTTTATGACGCATCTATGGGGCGAGGCTATGGACAAGCATGGCGAATCGATTGCTGTTAGCCTTGACATCTCGAAAGCTTTCGATAGGGTTTGGCACCGTTCTCTTTTTTCCAAGCTTCCGGCTTACGGTCTGTCTCCTCGATTGTGCGACTGGGTGGCTGACTTCCTGCATGAGCGCAGTATCCGCGTTCTCTGCGATGGGCAAGCTTCTAGCTTCCTACAGGTGAACGCCGGTGTGCCTCAGGGGTCCGTTTTATCGCCAACACTCTTCCTTCTGCATATCAATGACATGTTATCCCTGGGTAATATTCATTGCTATGCAGACGACAGCACTGTCCACGGTCGATACTTTGGCCATCCAGCCGCTAATCGAAATGAGATAGATAACAGGAGAACAGAACTTGTCCGTGAGCTCGACGATGTCTTGTACCGCATCTCAGAATGGGGTTCAAAGAACCTGGTCGAGTTCAATGCCAAGAAGACGCAGGTGTGCGCGTTCTCGGCTAAAAAATCTCCATTCCTTTGTTTTCCCTCTCTTCAGAACACTCGCCTTACTATGCAGGATGGCATCAACATCCTCGGAGTTAATATCCGCAGCGATCTGAACCAAAAAAAGCATATCGAGAGTGTCATTTCGTTAGCTTCGCGTAAACTCGGGGTCCTGAACAGGGTGAAGCGGTTCTTCTCGCCTGAGCAGCTATGTCTACTTTACAAGACTCAAGTGCGCTCATGCGTTGAGTACTGCTCCCACCTCTGGGATGGCTCTGCAAAGTACTTGTTAGACGCTCTTGATAGATTGCAACGCCGTGCTATCCGCATAATCAATAAACCTGAGGCTACTCAGTCCTTAGAACCTCTGCAATTGCGTAGAGATGTTGCTTCTCTAGCCGCTTTTTATCGAGTTTATTACGGCGAGTGTTCAGAAGAGCTCTTCCAACTTATACCCTCCTCTCCTTTCCTCTCCAAAACCACACGTGCTGGTCGGAAATTCCATCCTCACACGGTACTACCCATACCTTCTCGTACCAAAAGGTTTGGCAGCTCCTACCTGTGCCGCACTATTAGGAAATGGAATTCATTACCGTCTCACGTATTTCCCTCTTCCTATAATCCTGGGTCGTTTAAACGGAGCGTGAAAAAGCACATTTGCAGGCCGACGAGGTGAGGTTGATCGGAATCGAGATCAAGTCTCGGAACCGATGGATCTCATTCTGGATTCCACTGTCGCTTACCATCAGGCGTCATGGAGTCATCTTGTCGAGCGACAATAAAAAAAAAAAAAAACCTAACCCTCTTTTTCAGCACCACGTGACTGCATTATATGTAGTATGTACCTACTCATGTATGTATACCAGTTTCTTCTGCTTTATTTTAACAATAATATTCAAGTATACGGACTTGTTTGTTCAGACATGTTTTTTCTTTTGATTACTACGTCTGCAAATTACTTACTGCTACGTCACAAGAACTAACTTGGTATTGAATTAAAATACATCAATACAGCATTCAGTCCGGATATTACAATAGCAGAGAACTTATCGATATCTATAAAATGTATAATAAAATAGTAACTTAGCGAAATGTCTACATGAAATATTTTTTAAAACAATGATTATAACGTATTGTGTACAGAAATCATAGTTAAAAAAAAATTGTCTGTTTGTTTGTTTGCACGCAAAAAGTAATGAACCGATTCTAACTAAATTGTGTGTAGTTAGGATACCTTTTAGGCTTATACTACAAGAAAATCTTTTATTCCCACGGGAAAATACAATAACTACCTAGTTCTAATTCAGCGCCGTACGGTGCTATGATACAAAGAGGCGGCTGCCTCAGGCGATACAAAGTAGAGGCGGCATTCCAAATGCCTAAATGCTACAAGTCAAATATCCTAGACTCTCAAGCTCAACTCATGTGGACTCATTATTTTTTTCGTTTTTTTTTTAACTTTTAATGTCGGGAAATGCATTTACGCACGAGGTGTGGGACTCACCGGCAAAGCCAGTACTACCCACTAAAACCCAACAAAACCTTCCCCCGCCTTAATGGGGCGTCGCAGGATCGCTTACGCATTCAACTACGACGCCCCGACGGCAGGTCTGTCGAAGCAGACCACAACAACCATGGGGTTGCTCCAAGGTCCACTCTGCTATCAGAGAAGCAATTTTTTTTAAAGTTAGGTTAACAAAGAAAATAATATCTACATCCAAATTATTTCTATTATAATTAATTCATCTTTTGAGAGAGCAAGAATATTTTTAGGGCGCAGTTTGCTTTGAACTGGTTCTGTCGAGTCGTCCTTAAAAATTTACATGATTGACGCTGGCTAAACCTTAAAGCCTAGTTCGCATTAAGCTAGTATTTTAGTCTAGTAGCGAGTAATTTAGTAGCTAAATTACTCGCTACTCTCCAAAAATCGTTCGCACTTTGGTCTAGTACAGTTTACAAGTGAGTGGTGTTTTGCAAGATGAATAGCCTACAACGCAATAAAGTAAATAAACTGATTAAGCTGATCGTAACGGCTATTTTAGAAGAGGTGGATGAGGAAATTTGTGTGATTAATATAGGGTATATTCATTATTTTTTCCAAATCTAAGTATGCGGAATGTTTCATATGCTTGTTTTTATAATGCAAGGACCTAATATTCCACAAGCATTCGTGTTCAACATATTTCGAAACAAATTTAAAAGTCATTTCTTCGCTCCAGCGAAACGACATTATGGCGGCAACTAATGAACTCGACTAATTCGACAGGTTCGTACTTGTTTAGCCGGTGAACCAGTGAGCTCGGACGCGTGGTGGGGGCTGCTACTCGCCAAAAAAATAGAATGAAATGGATTGACTCGACTAAATTACTTACTAAACTACTCGACTAAATTTTTAGTGTTCAGACACGTTTAGTTACTAAATTACTCGCTACTAGACTAAAACACTAGCTTAATGCGAACTAGGCTTAACAGATACATCAAAAGAATGCACTAGAAAAATATAGGTGTTAAAAAGGCATAAAGAAAAGTCTGTAATATATTTATGTCCAATGTCCATCTTCTAAGGTACACTCGCAATAACTATATTTTATATTTAAAACGTACCTAAAGGGACGGACCCGAGCGAAGCCGTGGGTAAGTCTCTAGTAATAATATAATACAAATGAATTAATTCAGTTTAACAAATGTCTTATTGTGATATCATACCAATTATTAGAAACGTGATGGGAAGACACGCCGTCAGCTTTAGGCAACCGGCACTTGTCACATAGTCTAACATGAAAATCTATACATATAATAAAACTGTAGAAGTCGAATGTCTGTACATAGAAAAAAAATGCTAAGAACCAAGTCAGGGGGATGTAAGAAGAGAAATAGAACAAATCCAATTTTTTTTTAATTTTTTGTTTCTCTGTCTGTTTGTATGGGCTATTCTCTGAAGCTGTTGGACCGATTTAAATGAAATTTTGCATGGTGGTACCTTATATTACCGGTCAACATTGTAAATACTTATTACTTCATCCCAAAAAATTAAAGAGTTCCCGTGGAATAGTTCAAAAACTATAGTAACTTATACAGTTTAGTACACAAAAACTACTGATTGGATTTTAATGAAACTGTACAATAATATAGCTCATACATCAGAATAACAAATAGGCTACTTTTTATCCCGGAAAAATGTACGGTTCCCGTGGGATAGATTTGTTTTTATTTGTCTAGAGGCGAACCCCAGCGAAGCGAGGGTGAGCGGCTAGTATATCATAAAATGTATTTTGTATTGTTATTATTTCTTGTATATATAAAATATTGTTTAAAGTTTACTTTTTTTCCTATCGATTAATTTTTACTTTATTTATATTGTGGTGTGAATGGGAAAGAATATTATTAGAATTGCATCATACACTGAGATAAGGATAAACGTTTACCTATCTTCCTATACCTAGGGTCGGTAGTACAAAGAACTGATCGTATACAAGAACACATTGATCTAGTATTATAAAATAAATATTTTGGAAGGCTAAGTCAATGGTCAAAAATAATATTTTATAAATATTTTTAAATAGTCTAAAATTTATAGACGTTAGCGAAAACGTGACGGTTTAATTGTTTTTATTTGGCACTTATTTAAATCAGGAAACTATTTTCAAGCTTAATAAATTTTTAGAAAAATATTATGGGTTATACCTTGATTTTAATGGTTTAAAGTAAGTATTTGAAGATTTTAACTTTCTATTTTACATGGTAGCATATTCATAGCTTTTTTGGACCTATAGAGTCCAACAGTCGCTAAGAACCACTTGTGACACCATAAATACACGATAAATTATCATCGAAATCGGCCAAGCCTAGGAGGAGAAGGATTATAATATAAACACACCGAAATTTTATAAAATTTTTATATATAAAAAGAAAATTTTATGTAGCAAATTTTCTGCATAAGAGAATATTTGGGAATGGATAAGGTCAGATTTAAAGTACACTTAACTTTCTGTTTTACAAAAAACATAATTTTAATAATTATATACTACATTAAAAATTTATTTTGAAATTGCCCGCGGCTCCGCCCGCGTTCAGATTACCAAAAACCAAACTCTTAGGTTTTACATATTAGTATACTATTACAATGCAGTTTTTGTATTTTTTCTCAGAAATGAGATATTTTCCTGCGGTGAAAAGTATCCTATACATTAACCCGGATAACCAGCTATCATCATACCAAATTTCATCAAAATCCCTGCAGTGGTTTTTCCGTGATGCGGTAACAGACAGACAGACAAAAATTCTAAAAACTATAGATTCGGTCTCTGCATCGATAATAACGTCTATTTCAATAAGCATTTCCAAAAAATATTTAATGTACAAATTCGGCTTAGTTACAATTTTATTATATGTATAGATAGAGTTTCTTCTTGCAATGTGAACAGAATTTTCCGCTAGTAATATGAAATTCAACGATATACAAGACTTGAGTGAAGAATGTAGTGTTCAAATCGTTTGATATCTCTAGAAATTCTTACACAACGTCGTGTAATGATTCAACACAGCTCAAGGACCGCGGGCTCGTCTGGCCACAAGACACAATGCTCAGGAAATAGTTCATCTGATAGCTCGCAGGAAGTTTGCGCGTTGCGGAGGCGTGCATTGTCACGACTTGATTCTATGAAATTGGACTCGACAGATTTGCTCTTCTTCTTTATCAACAATACCTCACTTGAGCCCCACAATCAAATAGAATCGATTTCAATGAGAAAAGCATGTCTTGGTTTTCAGTCACTAAAGGTTTTTGTAGTTGATTTATTATGGTATTATGAAACCAGAAATATTTTTTGTCATTTTTGTACGTCAAATTGACGAAACTATTATAAATAAATGATATTGGCAGTGTTATGATGTTCCAAGGTTTTTATAAAATTTACTAGCATTGCCCGCGTTCAGATGACCAAAAACCAAATTCTTAGGTTTTACATATTAGTATACTCTTACATTACAGATTTTGTATTATTTCTCAGAAATGAGATATTTTTCGGCTGTAAAAAGTATTCTATACGTTGACCCGGATAATCAGCTATGACCATACCAAATTTCATCAAAATCCATCCAGTAGTTTTTCTGTGATGCGTTAACAGACAGACAGACAGAGAAAAATTCTAAAAACTATAGATTCGGCCTCTGTATCGGTAATAATGTCTATTTCAATAAGATTTTCCAAAAAATATTTAATGTACAGATTTAACTTAGTAAAAATTTTATTATATGTTTAGATATGTTTGCAGGAATTGATTAAATAAATAAAAGGTGACCTAAACCGAAACAATGTTATATTAAAGCGGGTTGCCGCACTCGGCCTAGGAGATAATTATCTAAACATCTATTGAAAGATTCCTGCGTTTAAGTCTGGTATGCGGGGACTGATCCCCTTTTTAATAGTAACGGAATTAAACATTTACGAATGTAATCTAGATTCTAGAGTAAGAGACATTCGTTACAATCTTGATAGGTGGATCTTTTCCTTAAAATGCTTTTGAATTGTGCTTTTATAATAATATAAATAAATTCGTTATACCTACGTCCTACATATAGTATATATATATATATATATTAAACAATAATAAGGTTTCATAACAGAAAAAGGTAACTAAATCCTCCTCCGTCTTATATATATATATATATATATATATATATATATATATATATATATATGTAGGTATAGCGAATTTATTTGGTAGCAATAATTAATAAATGTCGCTCAATATTAAAATAAAATTGATTTTAGTTATAACAAATAACCAACATTGACACTTAAAATTTAAACGAGAATCTATACGTATTATAAAACAAAGTCCCCCACCGCGTATGTATGTCTGTCTAAATGCGATAAACTCAAAAAATACCGAAAAGATTTTCGTACGGTTTTCACTAATGGACAGAGTGAGTCATGAGGAAGTTTTAGGTGTATAATTCATTAAGGTTTTGTGTAAATTGACTGAAATATTACGATGATTGTTTATTTACTGGTAAAAACTAGCCAAGTCAAATCTGTGAGAAAGATGACGATTATGCCATCTGCTGGGAAAAGCACAAAAAAACAGTATTAGTTTTGCATTATCAGCGTTTTTAATTAATTACTTTTTGTTAATTAAAATAAGTGTTTGTGATGTCTTCATCAAAAGTATCTTGCTGTATTTGTGGCTGTTCAAGTAATATGCCAGCCGATACTAATCAAAGCACACCGACTTCGAAAATATCTGATTAGGTATCTATTCTAAATGAAAACCCCGTTTAGTTATTTTTAACTTTTTAGTGCCTGAAGTGCGTTTTTTAAGTTTTTTATATCGGTAAAAATCCAAATTTTATTATTTTTTGCATTATTTAGGCATAACTAATATTATTTATTACACTGTTTACATCATTATTTTGTTCTTATTTAACACGAGGGCGCTCTACTTTCGACAGGTGTGCGTGCTGCTCTCCTTAGTTCGAGTACACTCCCTAGGTATGGAGGGTAGAACTACCAACCATAAAGCAAAGTTACGTCATTGTAAATTCAATATGGCGAACGCTTTTTTTTATGCACCCCCATGATAATAATGGATCAAATCAATCACAAAATCAAAAATTCAAATGAAAGGGTTTGCCAAGAAGAATACGGAAAAAACATAAAAAAAATTAAACATTAAAAAAACAAGCTTTTATTTAAATGCTCTAAAAAACAAGGAAGTAGGTATAACTTTTTACGTGCGCAGGTACATAAGTACACATACACACACTTTTGTTTTATTTAAAATTAACTTTTATTATATGCAAACAATCATAGGATCAGATATAAATTCATTAAAATTAAACATCAAGAGTTTGTAGGGTGTAGTCATGCTTTGTGTGTCCTAGCCGTTACTACGAACAATAAAACGTGATCATGAAGTTATATTCTTTTTTCGTAGGTCGACATTTATGTTATACGTAATTGTTGCGATTTTTTTATTTAAAAAATTACTAATCTGATATTCTATTATTATTAATAAAATAATACTTTTTACTATACTTAAATTAATATCTCAAACAAATGGTTGTTGTAGGTATAAGCATAATGTCAGTTTTTTTTAATATTACTTCCCCTTTTGTATTAAAATAGATTTTCTTAAAAACAAGTTTATAATTTATAAAACTGCTTAATTTTTCACTTTTTTTTTTGAATTATCATACAAAATGGAAAAAATTTATTTTTTTAAACATACTACAAAATAATGCGATAATACCACAATTATCTTTATGTACTTATTCATATGACAATTGACATATGCATATTCATATTTTTGTCTAGTAACTGTCTGTTTCGTACATTCATGGTTTCATTCATTCATTTATCGAGGGCGCCGCCCTGGCGCCAGCACCCCGGCGCCAAGCCGCCTTGTCCTGAACGACCGCAGTATCGTGCCGGGACCCGCCCTTGCTGCACAATGAATATTTTTCATGTTGTATTCGTCATTGTGTTATTTAAGACAGTGAGTGCGAAAATCAGTGGAGGTCCGAGAGGCCGTTTCGATAATATCCAACGAAAACCTAGTCATCATGTTAGCGCTCATCACGCACATTATTCCTACCATCCACCTACGGCGATACATTTCATGTGTCGCCACTGTGCGAACTTCGTCACGTACCCCGTCTATCACGGGCTACCACCCACATATGTGTATAAGTACCGCGAACATGGTGGCAGATTTGCTGATTTGTTGACCGGACTAGCGTTGTACAATTTGGGAAGGGCTTCGACCGATCACTGGCAGTACACACATTTCTACCCATTGCGTTCAGACGAGAAATGTTCTATGCATGTTATCGATAGAAAACATTTTGAAGAGGTCGCTTTCCCTTGTTTCTTAATGTCGTCATTTATGGAACGATCACCTGAGAGCTTCTTACCGGATCCTAACGCTTTAGACATTACTTCGCCACAGATAGATATAAAACCGTATTTACATCACAACGGTTCCACTCTGAAGGTGACGAGCGAGCAGGAGTGTATTTTATGGCATAATATGACATTAAATAAGGAGCGAAACATAATACCATGTGCTTTGTTAAAAGAATATTCGGAGACTATGAAGCCTTCTGGTATACCTGTATACGTCTGGCTGCCGTCTACTCTTGCTTTGGTTATCACTATATATACGTGTGGCTATTGCTGCTGCAAGAGAAGGATGAGGAAGGAAGAGATGCCGTACAATGATACCACTGTAATTGGATATTGCACCAGACACTATTAAATATAACCTATTTGCCTTTTATAATTAAGAAATTAAATAGGGTATTTGTATTTGTGATTGTGCGTCATGTGAAGCAGTGTATGTTAGCATTGTCAGCAGATATGTGGTAATTGAATGTGTTAGTGCAGTTAGTGGATGTCTGTATAAAAAGAAAATAAACATAAAGTAAAAGTCTGTTTTATATTTTGAATTATTACTAACTAAATTTTGGGTATCTACACATATATATCTAAGTAATCGTATTTTTCTACACTATTGTTTTTCTCTTACGCTTTTGGTATTTGAGTTTTTTTTTAAAAGTAATCTATTCCTAAAATTAATATGTACTACGATTACTTAGTACTTAAGTTAAAGGTATTCCATAAATATCAATGTCAGTTCAGTCATAACAATGTAGAAGTGTAGGTAGATAGGGATATACCTATTAGTTGATACAAGCGTAGGATAAATATATAATATGTATGTATAGTAAATATATAATTATTGCAATGAAATATGGTAAATTAATATTATTTTTATAAATGAGCAAAAGAGCAACTCTTGAGTGTCTCGCTCTTTTTAGCAGAGCTGCCTTCCGAACAGGATTCTTCCTCACAGAATAATATACTGTTACAGACATTAAATTTAAATTTAAAAATATTTAAACTTGACATTTTAAAAGGGCTTTTAAAAGTCTATTTAAATAAACTATTATTTGATTTGAATGGAATCAAGCTAATTTGTAAAATGTATAAAGATATTTTCAACTAACAATATTAGATGGAATATGTATGCGATTAAGACTGACAATTATCGTGATGTTGTTATCGTGATTTTTCCTTTTTTTTATAAGCTTAAGTTTAGCTTCTATAAATCCTATCTATTATATTCATCTATATATTTATAATAAGTAGAACATTTTTAACAAGTCAAAATTATTATAGAATGTGTATAATATTAAAATGCAATAAGAAAACACTTGTGCATTAGCTTGGATTGTATGTACGTTACATCTGAATTGATATATAAGTTGCTTCAAAATATTTAATAGTATGAAGTTTAGATAATTATATAAGCCAAAAAAGATGAAGACTGTTCTCAAATATACTCAAAATAATCGTTAATGAATTTTTCATGATTTATTAACTTAGAGGACTGATCTGTACTTCTATTATAAATCTACAAAAGCTTACATTCATTCTGTTATAGCATTTAAGAATGCATTATTGTATTAGATAAAAAATCTAAAGTTAGTTAAGTTTAAAAAAAATAAAAATTAACAAAAAGGTGCCGAAAATGACATGACGAAAATAATGTATATGTAGTAAATGCTTTTAAGACTTTTTATAAATAAAAAAATACTTCTAAAAAAAAGAATATCTTTATTATTTTTTAATTCAGTTTTTATTCAAAAATTTTATAATATGTAAATACAATTTGGAAAACTAGATAAAGGATTTCTTATTGAATACCTTAGACTAAAGAATTATACTTACATTATACGAAATCAGCCCTGGATTTACACTAGGGGCACTCGGGGTTAGTGCTCAGGGCGGCGAATTTTTAGGGGCGGCAAAATTCGGAGGGTGGGAAAAAAATTTCTTCGCGTTATCGAAAATGCTTTTTTTATTTATCAAAAAATGAAATGTAAAAAAAAGATTAACATGTAGATACATTTTTCGAAAAAAATGATATCATTTATAAATTATTATTTTTGTGCATTTTTCGAAAAAATAATAATTAAAAAATTTAAACTTTCAACATTTTATTCAAAATTTCGATAATACGGCGGCATTTTTATTGTGCCCAGGGGCGGCGCTATGGTTCTATTTGGCCCTGGACGAAATATAATAAGAAGGAGTCCGCCAAAAAAAGTTTATGTCAAAATAGTCCAAGCAGTAGATATTATATAGGTAACGTTATATTACCGACTACCGTTTAGTGCTTATGCTGTTTTTGCTATTCTTGATTTTCTGATATTGACAAATAGATTGTAATTAATTAAATTAGAATTAAATTAATGTTATTGATCTAATTGTTGCTCGCCATACTTAAATTATTATACCTTATAAAATCCAGACGTATGCTGCAGTAGGTGATAAAAGTTTTATAAAACTGTTTTGATGTCACATAGATTTATTTCATTACTAGCATTGCCCGCGGCTCCGCCCGCGTTCAGATGACCAAAAACCAAATTCTTAGGTTTTACAGTATACCCTTACATTGCAGTTTTTGTATTTTTTCTTAGAAATGAAACATTTTCGCGCGGTAAAAATTATCCTATATGTTAACCCGGATAACCAGCTATCACCATACCAAATTTCATCTAAATCTCTCCAGTGGTTTTTCTGTGATGCGGTAACAGACAGACAGACAGACAAACAGACAGATAGACAGACAAAAATTCTGAAAACTATATAATAATATGTATTTCAATAAGATTTTCCCAAAAATATTTAATGTACAGATTCGGCTTAGTTACAATTTTATTATATGTATAGATATCAAAAACATACAACTACATTCTCCTTTTAATTTGCCATTGACGTAATTTGTGATTACGCGCGAACGAAGTTAAAATACGTAGAGCCAACAAATAATAAGAATTGTAGAGTAGGTAATAAACCTAGAGTCTGGATAAGTCTCAATACCAATTGCATTTACATGGCTTTTGGCTAGACTTGTGACTTGAAATGATAAAAAGTAATCATGTCAAAAGACACAGATCATCGTGTGTCATTTCAAAGAGTATTTTATTTTACTGGAATTATGTATGCACATAAAAAGAATTCTTATTGAAAAATAATCTATACATATAATAAAATTGTAACTAAGTCGAATCTGTACATAAAATATTTTTTGGAAAATCTTTTTGAAATAGATATTATCGATACAGAGGCAGAATCTATAATTTTTAGAATTTTTGTCTGTCTGTCTGTTACCGCATCATGGAAAAACTACTGGAGGGATTTTGATGAAATTCGGTAGAGTGATAGCTGGTTTTCCGGGTCAACATAAAGGATACTTTTTACCGCGGGAAAATGTCTCATTTCTGAGAAAATATACAAAAACTGCAATGTAAGAGTATACTAATATGTAAAACCTAAGAATTTCGTTTTTGTTCTGAACGCGGGCGGATGTTTATACACATACACGTGTATGTTATGTCCTTATATGCACATATACATATGTAGATATTTGCGAGATAGCTACCGAATAGAGTGCTATGCGTTTTAATTTTAATTTGGATGTGTTTTTCATTTTGTTGTTGAGTGTTGACAGTTTGATTATCGGGTACAAGTGCAATAAAACGATGTTTGCTTCAGAAAAATCACGAAAACCTTAGTAAATACGATTAAATGATGTAAATTACTCACAATGTCCTACATATATTTTAATTAGCTTCTGCTAATTATCATAACTCTACGAGAAAACGAGGTGTCGCTGTTACAAGGTAACACTGGGTCTAGTGATGTAGTAAATTTTAATTAAAGCAAAGTTTATAGGCGAAACATTATAATACAACGAATGAACTAATTTAATCCAAATGGAGGGGATAGAATTGATTTTGTGTAAATTTAATGTAGAATTTATTTTATTTTGCAAGCAATTTGCCATTTGTCTGTTTAATTCAACAGCGGTGTACAAAATAATGATCTCTTCCGCCAACGATATTTTAAACACGTACCGTAAATCGTATTGACCGGCGTTCTGGTAAAATTATTTTAATACATAAGGTACTTTAATTTTCTATTAATATTTATATTAATACTTCATTTTATAAGATATAGGCATATCTTATATAGATTAACTAGCATTGCCCGCGGCTCCGCCCGCGTTCAGATGACCAAAAACCAAATTCTTAGGTTTTACATTTCAGTTTTCATTGCAGTTTTTGTATTTTTTCTCAGAAATGAGATATTTTTCCGCGGTAAAAGGTATCCTATATGTTGACTCGGATAACCAGTTATCATCATACCAAATTTCATCAAATTCCCTCTAGTGGTTTTTCCGTGATGCGGTAACAGACAGACAGACAGACAGACAGACAGACAGACAAAAATTCTAAAAACTAAGATTTTCCAAAAAATATTTAATTTACAGATTTGACTCTATTAGAATTTTATTATATGTATATATGTATAGATTTCATTATTTTGAATTTCATATGCATTACCTATACCATTCATAATAACATTCAAAATATGAACATTGCTATCGTCCAAGTAACGGGTGCCATAATAAAACACTGAAAAAGAATTTTTTTTTCTAACATTTTAACTTCTAAGAATTTACTTTTTGTATATTAATATAAACACCCTGACCGTCGAAAGAAAATAAATTAAAGGGATATGTAAAATTTTACGATTGTAATTTCAGCTTTGGCAATATTCCAAAGCAACATAAAATATAGTATATATGTAACTGAGTGGACGCAAAAATGTTAATTGGGTGAAAGGAATATTTTTTTGGGGCTTAGTTATTCCTTCTATTTGACGTAAATTAAATATTTAGAAAAATATTTAAATATTTAATCATATTAATCATGTAAATTATTACTGCAATAATATATACATAACGTTAGGAAGGAGAGTGTTGAATGTTGATGTAAATACTTAGTGACTTATTAGTTACTAGCATTGCCCGCGGCTCCGCCCACGTTCAGATGATCAAAAACCAAATTGTTAGGTTTTACATATTAGTATACTCTTACAGTGCAATTTTTGTATTTTTTCTCAGAAATGACATATTCTCCTGAGGTTTAAGTCAAAAAAGTATCCTATATGTTGACCCGGATAACCAGTTATCACCATACCAAGTTTCATCAAAATCCCTCCAGTGGTTTTTCCGTGATGCGGTAACAGACAGACAGACAGACAGACATACAGACAAAAGTTCTAAAAACTATAGATTCGGACTCTGTATCGATAATAATGTCTATTTCAATAAGATTTTCCAAAAAATATTTAATGTACAGATTCGGCTTGGTTAGAATTTTATTATATGTATAGAGTAGT